AGTGTAGATGATACTAAAATATTCTGCCAAACAGCCATGTGTGGTGTTTTATTGCTCTTTTCCGAAGACTTTCAGAGTCAGATAGGAGATGGAAATCCATCTGCTTTGCCAGTTAATGTAGATTTGAGATGCAGAGTACCTGTGTTGGGCTCATTCAAACTCCATTCTACAAAACCTGTACATTTGTCTTTAGCGCAGTCAATGTGCTGTAGAAGACAGATAGCATATTTGCTGAATTGGACAGATAAATGGGTGTGAAAAAAGCACAGTTGATTATAAACATGGGTGTAATGTACTTGTTTTAACAGCTTTTGTCTGTTCTAGTATCTCAACAAAAGGATTCTTTCTTTCCTGTTGCCCCAGAGACCATTTGTTTAAGTGTCACAAGATGAGATGGCTGCTATGGAAAGCTGGTGACTAAGTTGACGTGAAGCCTTGTGCTAAAAAGCATGGACAAATTATATTAGGGGTGAAAAAAAGTTGACTTGATAAAGGAAACTTTTTCACTGTTTGATTAGTCAGGAATCAGAAGAGATTTGCTCAGACAGGTTGATTGGTCGCTCTGCTTGGAGGTTTGAAGAGCCCACTAGCTCAAGCCTCGAGCGCCATGGTCTGATCCCATTGCTGATCCTGCTTTGAGCAGGAGGTTGGGCTGGGGACTTCTGGAGGTCCCTTGGAGCAAAGGTTGTTCTGGGGGGTCTACATGTTAGCAACAGGAACTGCCTTGCTGCCTGTTACACTAGGCTGTCTACTCTAGGTTTGCAGAGTATGCTAGAGGCAGGTTTACACCTAGAAAAGGCTACGTAGTATATGAAACACAGGAGGAAAGGTTCTCTTTCAGCAGAGATCTATCTGCCTCTAAAGCAGGATTTTCAGCTTCAATTTCTGGTGTGCTCCAATGCCTGGGAGCTGCCTCCGAGGCAGTTTGCTCCAGTTTTGTGTCAATGGGCACTTTAATTCTGTTAATTTGACACCGTGATTCCCCAGTGTATTTGGGCAAAGTTGCTTGTAGAGTAAGATACATGTTGTGTTTGCCTGCAGCGTTTCAGTCTTGTTTGCTTAATGGAGAGACAGAGCAGGTTGCTGGGATATTGGCTCTAGCTCATACCACATTCTGAGCCACTCAGCCACTTCCCCACAGGCGCTTCACGAGGTAAAGGCCATTGCTTGTGTTTCCTGGAGCTGTCAGCCTGACACTCCACCCACAAAACATGACTGCTGTCCTGTGCAGAGCTAGTCCCTTGTACAATGTTATGTGTTGAAAGAGCATCCCTGGTGTTATGCTCAATCATGCCCTCAGCTGTTCTCCCTTGTCACGTGTCAGAAACCCTGGGTCATGCAGAACAGGCCAGCCTAAACCAGAAGGACATCTCTGATTAGCATGGTCTTGCTTTCCCAGGGCTGATATAAACCCATTCTGTTAAGAGACAGTGAAGTGTGGGAAGTGGTGGCTGCAGCCAAGGTGGAAGCCAGTCAAGTCAGAAGATGCAGCCTGATAATTACCATCACTAAAAGCAGCAGGCAGAAAGAGAACCTGAAGCTGCCACTGACTCAGCTGTTTAAAAGTTGCCATTAGTTTTAAACCTAAAATCTTGAAGCAATAAAGCTCTTGTAGTTCTTTCACTAATTTAACAGATCTAAGATTGCTCTGCAGATTCTTTTAAGGTGTAACTGTAAAAAATGATAATTTTTACTTGCTAGATAGATGATCTGCCATTGCTTCTGCTCCCTCCTTTGAAGATCTTCCTTGTTAAGATCTGTAAACAGCACTTGACTATTGCTGTCCTGGTTCCAACTGGCTTGAGGCTGCCCTTTTAAAACAGTTTTTGTTGCTGCAGTATTTGCTAAGCTCTTGCAGGGTGTCTGTCTGGCAGGACAGCTAAAAGACGTACAGTCTCAGCAGCTCCCTTGGGCTGGCTGCAGCATTTGACTGACCATGCATTGAATTATTCAGAAACCTAAACCAGTAGAAAATCAGCATTTTTCCTGCTGGTTATGTCTCCAGGCTGACTTGCTCTGAGATCATCGGAGGTGCTGGCAGCACCACAAGTAAAAGGCCAGAAGAAAGGGTCAAAAGTGGCTCATCTATATGGTTAAACCATTTTCTTAGACTTAATTTCTCTTGTATTTTAGGTCTGTAAACCAGCCCAGAAGCTGAAACAAGCAGTAGCTCATCTTCTTGCTGCTGCTGTTTGTCCCACAGCTGCAACATCCCATCCTCTGTTGTGCCAGTCAGGAATTTGTGTAGCCCCATGCTGAACTGCAGTGGAAGTTTCCCTTCCTTAATTTTGTTCTGATGGATTAGTTTTCATCAGATTTCTTTTGTGTTGCTGTACAAATGCTTACATCAGGGAGGGAGAGTAACGGAAGGAAAGGAGCAAGGGTCCAGGGTGCAGGGCAGGGTGACTGCTTATTTGACTGAATTTGAATTGCCAGCTTCAGCTGTCTTAACAGGTGCCTGGAATTACAGTGTTAGGCAGTGATTATATCTGTCCCCATTATTTCACTTGTCCGTGAACATTTCAGAAATTAATTTGTCCCCATGACATTTGGGAAACATCCTTTCTTTTTTCCTGCCTGTAGTTTTTCTTTGCCATATGCACTGTTAGGGCTGTGATAGCTGATCCCTTGCTTAGCCCATTTTCCCAAAGACATAGCGATGGCAAGGCTGTATGACAAATGTTTGCTGGGGCAGGGGCAAGACTTGTTTAAATCATTTGTTTAAATCTTTAAATTTTATGACTGGGAGAAACAAGATAGGGAAGAAGAGGTAGGGAAAGTAATACGTTCCAGTATTTAAAGGGTGGCTACACAGAAGATGGAGACTCCCTTTTTACAAGGAATCACATGAAAAAAGAGGAGGGGTGATGGTCACAAGTTACTCCTGGGAAGATTCTGGCTGGACACAAGAGGAAAATTTTTCACAGTGAGAACAACCAGCCACTGCAGTAATCTCTCCAGGGAAGTGGTGGATTCCCTAATGTTGGACACTGTTAAAATTCAGCTGAACAGATTGCTCGGACATCTAGTCTAGGTCATGCTTTGCCTAGAAAGGTTGGCCCAGATGATCCCTGAGGTCCCTTCCAACCTGGGATTTTATGATTGTATGAAGAAGATAGCAACTGTGAGGCTCAGTCAGAAAATGTTGGGATCCACAGTTGTGAAGGGAGCTCTTGGAGTCAGCATGTGCTATAGAGACTGAAGGAAACACTGGTAGCTAGAAACCTCCAAGGATTTTGCCTCATGTTCAAATTCTTTTCAACTTCCATCAGTCTTTAAAAGGCTTTGCTAACACTGAGGGGGATGGAAAATGTTAGTCTGTGCAATGGTTACCCTTCTTCTCAATGGAACTGAGCTGTGCAGGTTTGCAGGCTCTGTGTGGATGTATTCCTGCTATATGGAGGTCACTTGTGTCATGGTCAACAGTGTGGATGGAGAGGAGGCAGGTAACCTTCTTTGGTAATCATTCAAGCATTTTCAGATGCTCGCTCTTCCCTCTTTCTTCCCTCTGTCCCATTCCAACTGAATCAGTTTAATTTCTGGGCAAGCACTATAAATGTGCAAATTTGACCATGTCAAAGCAGTTGGTGTTTTTAATTATAAGCATATTTTGCACAGAAAAATCAAAGACTCAGAACAACCTTATTTCAATCCACAGTTAATTACCTTTTCCATCTACTTGTCTTGCTTGACTGGAATTGAAAAGACTAAAATTAGCAAAATTTGTAGCTAAATCCTTCCAGCAGTTGTTTGCCACCTGTTTAGTATTGCAGGGTTTATCTGAATCTGATTGCATTAGTATCTTACCTACTCTATCATGTTTAATTTGCTATTCACCATTAACATTAGCCAAATTTAATTGAGATGTCATTAAAAATATATTTTTTTCTGTCAGATGCTGCTATTGGAATCATGAACCTTAGTTGCTAAAATTTGGTCTTGGTGTCTTTGCTAGATTTTAGTCCTAACTGGATGGAGAACTTCAAGAGCTCAGTGAAACACCTCTTACAGTTACGTTGTAGTGTTCAGCAGTGACATAGTTTCTTTAGTTCTTTAGTCTACCTGGTCCATGATGATCTGCAAGTGCATGCATCCCAGAAGATTAAAATTAATCTAATCAGTTACTGTCTACAGAGCCATCTTTGTTTTCTTACTAATCCATTATGCTCTAATGAGAATGTCTGTTGTAACTGCTGCTGCCTTGCTGCCACCGGTTTGCTTCTTCCCTTCTGGGCTGTCACGTCTTGTAAGTCCTTGTGGGCTTTTTTGTAACATTCTTTTATCATTATTGGCCTTCATTTGAATGGGCTGAGACTTGTGAATTGCTCCTCTTCCTCAGCAAGGCAGCCACTGCTCTACCCACCTTTTCCACTTGCTCTGCACTGCACGTGATGTAACTTCATCACCTGTCATTACAGTAGTGTTTCTCAGCATATTTTTATCTAACAATCTGCTATATTCACAACAGAAATTCAACAAACCACCTTGTGCAGTCTTGCTGTCATGATTCTCTTTTGCAAATACTGTAGTGTAGTATACAGCTCTAATTCTCCAGCTTATTGGTTGGGCATTTGGCTCCTGTTTTGTTTGCATGCTTGGAAAAGTGTGAATTTATCCTGGTTTGGCTTGTGTATTATGAAGCTGCAGCCATTTCAACCAATAGGTTGAAAATAACTACCAAAGCCTGCTTTCCAAAGAAAGACACTTCTGTTCCATAAACAGCCTTTATTTTCTGTGTTCAGTGAGGTTTCAGCTGGTGGGAATGTATGGTTGATTTTCAGTGTACTCTTTACCTGGGTATACTCTTTATATTCTGACCCTTGTGGGCAAAGTAAGTAGGAGTTCCCATTTTTTCAATGAAGACCCTTTTTTCCTAAAATATTTTTAATGCTGAAATGTTCTATTCTCATTTACCTCTGAGTACCCTGTGTGACTCCAGTTAGCTACTTGACTGACCAACATGGCAGCTATTCTAATTCAGTTGGTTTTACCTTTTGCAGGAAGCAGCAAACATGCTCTGTCTTATGCAGAACAGGCTGAAGGAAGAGGAACAACTCCTGCTTAAAGGTGCAAGTAAGTGGGATTTCTTTATCACTTGTATTAGCAGTTAAGTACTGGCTACTTCATGTATAAGTATCCACTTACAAGCATGAAGCGGAGGGGACATGGGATAGGTGATAGAGTCAAGAGGTTACATTAGGAAAAATGAATTGATAATAACTTTAAAAGGACAACAGTGAGATAGAGAGCCTGACCTCTGTAAAATGCTTCTTCACCTTGTAAATTTTACCTGCTGTGCTGAGTGATGGAAACAGTCATCCACTAAACATACTCTTCAATTATAGCGAGCAAATTTTAGGCTTCATTTTACTACTACCAAGGACTATATGGGCTTGCTGTGGACACAACACTTGTCCCAGCATGATGGGATTCACAGAATCATAAGATGGTTAGGGTTGGAAAGGACCTTAAGATTATCTAGTTCCATCCCCCTGCCATTGGCAAGGACACCTCAGACTAGACCATGTTATCTAAGGTTCTGTCTAACCTGGCCTTGAACACTGCCAGAGATGGAGCATTTGACACTCCTCTGGGCAACCTGTGCCAGTGCCTCACCACCCTCACAGTAAAGACCTTCTTCCTTATAGCTAACCTGAACTTTCCCTGGTTAAGTTTAAACCCATTACCCCTTGTCCTATCACTACAATTCTGATGAAAAGTAGGTTTGTGATCACATTTGTTTAGATAATTCTACTCAGCAAAACGCTTGCATGTAGGTGAGTAGTGTCATTGATTTGTGGGACTGCTTGACTGCCTGCCCCATGTTACACATGTGCGGGTGTCCTTGCAAACCAGTGTGGTTTCTGTCCTCAGCAGTTAGCCTGCCATACTGCATAGCATTGAGTTTGGTTATGTGTGCGGAGAAATTCTTTGTGATGTCTCTATCAGATCATAACTTTCACAGATGAAAAACTCTCAGCTTGAAACCGTTTTCAGTATCACTGATCTTCAAAGTGGGACCATGTTTTCCTGCTTGCATTTGCTTGATTTTAGTGTACCTGATAATGTGAATTCAATTAAATTTTGGTGGTTTTGTTCTTTTTTTATATACTTACTCTTAATTAAGTAGCACTCTAGGTGAGGATCAGAAGGGAATAATAACCTCTTGAGAGCTTGTGGAAAGCTAACAAACCAGATTTTACTCCTTTTGAGCCAAGCATCAGCAAGGACTTCCTTATTAATTACCCCAGTGAATTTTATATTGCATTATGTGCATTTTTATGTGGTGGCAGAAGAAAATGGAAGGCAAGTTAATTCTCAGGATCAGAGGGAGAGTTCATGAAAGCTGAAACTGAGTAAAGACATAAAAGTTAGGCTTCACAATTTGTTTACTGCAGAGATTTTCAGAGCAAACTCATGAAAGATGTTGCCCATCTCTGATCTCATCTTTGTATTAATAAAGTGAAGAAGTTTAAGCTGAAACATAGGATTTGTAATATCAGTTACAAGGATGTGGAATTGTTTGAGTGAAGAAGTCTAGGTCCTGCTATCTAACAGTTTCCAGAGTAAATAAGTTCGAGAGCAGACAAACATCTATCAGTAAAAAGTGTGATGTGAAAAGTTGCTGATCTGCTTTCTATTTCTCTGGATTTTCACTTGGAAAACTATCCTGTCATTTTGCATCTCTGAAAGAATATGAACCTTTATACGAAGTGTTTTAACTGCCATCTAAGTGCGCATGGTCATGACTTTTCATCACCTAAAAATATTGCCATAGTACGTCTTTATTCAAGTATTTAATTGACATAATTATTATGTATTATAGTAATAAGAGCACCAGGATCCTGGTTTTCAGTGGCAGCTCATTTGAGTGTCCCATAACCTTGGAAAATCAAGTCATCTTTGTCAGCTCCAGTCTGCCTTTATCTGCACGTGTGTAAATCCACAGAGTCACAGAGGTGTGACTGAGACAATCCTTCCTTACTGCACACTGTACGATTAATTTACTGAATATTGCAAAGCTCTCCGAGACCATGGTTTGCTAACATAAAATGATCAGGTACTGTGCTGTGCTTTCCCCTTTGTCCAAGCCCCACTCTCCTCCTCACATTATTAGTTAAATGATACATTTTATACAATTCAAAACCAAGGTATATTTAAAGAGAGAATGCAGAGGTCGGTGTCTTAAATGGCAAAATGCTCCATTAGGGAAACATTTACATTAATCCCAGGATCCTAGTCACAAAAAAATTACATATTTTGCACAAAAGGAAGCAAAGAATCAGCACAGAATCAGTGCAGCATCACTGAACAGCTTTGCCTGCCCAAAGCCTCCTCCCACAGGTTAATAGTGAAATTCATGCTAGAGGTAAAAAGCATTCCAGTTGCATTTTAAAGTCATGCCCCTCATACAAAGCAGTGTTTTTATCCTGAGTTCTCTGCCGTCTCAAATTTGGCAGAAAATTTACAACACCATCTGGGCCTTTAGCCCAAGGAGCACATTGTGTTTGCTTGCTGGACAGATAAAGTAGACCCTGCTCCAACTTGGTCTTGCTTGTGCAATGGGTTCTGAGATGAAGGGATTAGTTTCTTCCCTGTGCAGCTCCTCTGAGTGGAAGGTGGGCAGGCTGGCCTGAGGTCTCCCAGTATCCCAAGCCTCTCTGGCTGAAACTTGAAGGTCCAGGGTGGTGGAATGAGCTTCGTTTGAACAGTCATTGCTTTTCTATGCAGAGGGGTAACACAGGGCCAGTGCCTTCTCAAAGAAAAGGGACAGTTCTCTAACTCTCATTACACTTTGCCCCTGAGAGCTGCAAAACACTTAATGAGGCTCTTCTAACAGCATAGGCTGGAATCTGGTGATGAATTTGTTACCATTAACTGATAAAAGTCAGCATCTATTCTGCACTCTTACCTTTTCCTACCTTCATAATTGATGCAGTTGTCTTGTTGTCTCCATCCTTTGACCTTATCTCCTGCTAATTTGGTAAGAAGGGCTGCAAATTAACAGTTAATTTCTCTGCAGCAGCAGTTGCAGGAATTCCAGACATCTCGCAGTTGAGTTTCAGGCTGAACTAACACCAGAGAAACCAAAATCATATTTCTTGTAAAGAAGAGCTGTGACGTGCGGGTTGAACTGTGAAGGTCTGTGTTACGAATATAGAAAGCCCATGGGTATGTCATGGTACTCACATAAAATTTACAAGCATGTTTAGTGTAATTCAGAAACAGCCAGGTTCTTTTTTTCTTTTGCTAGCATACATTGAAATCATCTTTTCAACAACAGAGCATCTCCAAACAACCACTGCACAATAAAAAAGAAAAGCTAACACTAAGTTATATGAAAAACTGTTCTTAAATTACCTATAAATGAACTCTAATACACATCAGGCTTTAAGTCTTATTTGCAGGATGAAAATATACACAATAAAGTATTTGCAGCAATTCAGAAATGTCTTCTGTGATGAGCAGTAAGTAAATTGCTTTTATTTTTATCTTTATTTCACGTAAGATGCTCTTAGAGAAACCAGCACACAATGTGGTGTTTTTCATGCAGTGCTGCTCTTGTGCTGCATCCAAGGCTGGTACAAATGAACAAATCCCCACTGACTGAAGCTCAGGGATTGGTTTTCTTGTGGTTAATGGCACAGAGACTCTTCAAACATTCAATCAAATGCTGCTCAGATGAGCACTGTGGAGGCTGTTGACAGAACTATCAGGTGAGGAGGTGCTCTGGTTTGGTGTGAGAAGAGAGGGCTTGGAAGGTCACTGGCCACACCAGAAATTCGAACTGTTTTTTCCAGTTCATCCAAGGTAGACAAAGCCTGTTTGTGGAGCAAAAAGTAACAGCTGTGTTTCTAGCCTGAAGTACATATTTTTCAGACTAATCAGCTTATTACATTTATTTTCATTCTCACCTGCTTATGCTATTTCATGTGCGTTTTCCCACATGCTTTCTTTTGAAGTTTTTTTTTTTTGTCAGTTCAAAAGCAGACTATGTTAAATATAGCTTTTTTAAAAAGTAAAATATTTTTGCTTCGGAAGTATAAAAATAAACCCCTTGAAATTTTAAAAAATATTTCCTGTGTTTCCTGTGGGCAGTGCTATATCCAGGATTTAATTTCATGTTGCAAAAGTATTTGCTGTAAAACTGCTTTTTTTTTTATTGCCTGTGCCACTCCAGTCCCTCTGTGCTCTTGCTTGGTCTGTAGAATGAGTAGACATTTGTGTAACACAGCATTTTGGAGTTTGCACTACTTCTATAATAGTATTTGCACTACTTCTATAGTGTTCAGCAACAGGGTTAACTGATGCTCCTGGAGAGCTTCAGTTCTGCTCTGTACACAGCCAGAATGTTTCCTTGGCCAGCTCTACTTGCTGAGCTAACTCTTGCTTTTCTGATGGCCAAGCAAAATGTGCATCGCCTTCCTCCATTAAACAGAGCAAATAGATGTTGTGCTTTGGATAACAAATTACATGAGTCTCTTGCAGTTTGGTGGTGCACTGAATCTGAGTGTATCATTTCCACTCCAGAACTGATGCTTTAAAATCTGACAACAGAGAAACAAAAAGCTCCATTGCAACAACTGCAGCATTTGAGGTGTAACACTGCGCTGCTGGGTAATTCCCACAAAGGCCGGATGCCTGAATGATGCTCAGCACTGTCACCAGCAGGATGCTCAGACCATTTATCTTCTGTAACAGACACTTGGCACAGACCCTAATGGTCTTGTGTTTTGCTTGTTAAATAATTGCAAATTAATGTTCTAATTTAATAATACTTTGATGGATTCTTGGCTTTTAAGAAAGAACTATTTAGAAATAGTTCTGGTCACTGAATACGACCTCTCTATAAAATGGGCTAAAAATTAAAGTAGCTACTTACTCCTGTGCCAGGAATCCAAATCCCAGTTTAAATGGAACTTATCAGCCAGAGTTACTTTTAATTATTTTAAGTGACAGAGACCTGTTGCTTCCTTGGGCAGCAGTTAATCGTCCTTACTGGATACTGTAGCAACAGATCCTTTTAAGATGACTAGACAAGGTAAGACAGTGCACTTGGACCTGGTGTTTGGGGGCTATTGGTTTGTGAACCAGCAACGGGTTTGTTTCCCAGTCTGCACAGGCAGGTCTGACTATCCAAGCTTTCTGCTGAAGTTAGAACTGCAAGTGTCTGAATCTTGATTAGCAGCTCTCAGCACCAGGATGAGTTTTTCTTAGAGGTTAGATGAAGGATCTCAGTTCTGTGCTAAGAACAAAGGACATTCCCAATAGAATTTATGTACCAAAGCATTTCTTTCTGTGCAAGTTGCAGAGCTGTGAATGTAGAAGTGTTCAGGCTGATACACAGCCTGATGCTCTTGTGTTTGGTGAGACAAGAGTATGGATTTGGTAGAACCAAGGCTTTCATGTGGGTGCTGAACTTCACTCTCCCTTCAGTCCCATTAAAATTTCAATCGATCCTTTTTTTTTCCCTGCTCTAAAATTTCCTGCAATTTATTACATGGGTTTTATCCTGGCTCAAGTGGCTATCAGTTGCCCACTTGATTGTGTTTTCATGATGCTTTTTCACCAAAATCAACATTCTGCTGACTCCAGTAATCGCTGTGGAGCCAGTGCCTGTGTTTCAGAGCAGGGACTTCTATTAGGAAAGTGAACATGCTAAAGTATATCAATAAAGGATGTCCTTTGTGCTCATTATCTTCTTACAGTACCTTCCTATTTTACACTTGGATACATTCACTTGAATATTTATGCAAACTAACAAATCTGTAATGAAGTCACTGGTAACTTATTAAACAATGCAGGTTGTCCTTCAAGCATTGCAAATCACCCCAAATTAAACCATTTAGGTACAGTATTATCAGTCCAGGTATCAGCTCTGGCTTTTTCTGGGAATAGTAGGTGTGCTTTGGAACAAAACACATCTTGAGAGCAGTAGTTTTCAGTTTTCAGCCACTAAAAGTACATTCTGGTTACAACTGGACTGCTTTAAATGAAATCAATTCAGCTGACCAAAGTCCACCTTTAGGAAATGGCGATGTTGCAATGTAAGGCAAGCAGACTTTAATATCCTGGTATGTTCTCTCTCAGGTAGTCTGATATTGTAGCTAATTCTCTGTGTGGTAGAGTAAACCACAGCAGTGGGGAAATGGGCCAAACAGGTTTGTAGAGTTGTTCTGTTGATGACCTTTTCATAATAAAAATACAGGAGCTTGTTAAAAGACCAACCTTAAGCTGCAGCGTTGGCCTAAATTTGGGCACATGGGTTGTGGAGTTTGTGGTGCAAAGTCAAGTAATCTTCACGTAAACCCATGCAAATCTCATAAGCCAGTTCTAGTAGAATGTGTTGTGTACTCCATGTACTAGGACATGGGAATTTGTAGTAGTATGCTTTATTATCTTAATTGCTTTATATGGATACTAAAAAATCAGCATTTTCTCCATAAAGAATGTTCCTTGTCTGCCTGTAATTGTTGCATTGTAATTTCTATTAAACAGATGTGGCTATGACTTCTTCTAGCAAATGGTTTCTTTCTAGATGTTGTTCAGTGAAACTTTCTGAATTGTCACCTTTTAATGAATACCAGAAATATTTAGTTACAAACTGAATGCAGTAGGCATCTACAACGAGGGGTGTAGGATGGTGGAACCCTATAGTGCTCTAGCTAGGACAGGTTACACACAGCATTGGACTACTCTGCTGTTCAATCCTGCTAAGAAACCTATGCTCAGCTTGTCTGCATCTTGCGTATTTGAACCCGTTTTCAGCACTATGCTCTGCTGCTGTGTCATTGGGATTTTGGCTCATCATGAGTGCTCAGCTGATAACTTGGATTGTAGATCAGACAGAGCTGGGCTTGGTGATAGCAGCCGTTGAGCTGGGATAGAGCAATATATCTATTTCTTTGTAAGTGGAAAAACGTGGTCGGTGCCTTTTCAAGTGGTGGGCAGGAGGCTTGGAGACAGAAATTTTACAGTTGCTGAATTTGCATTTGCATTGCCACTTTCGGATCATCCCATGTGTTTTCACTATAGCGATGCTTCATGCTAGTTTATGTGCATCTGAATTCCAGCTGGACTATTCAAAGAAAATCCAGACTCTCACTATAGATCTGTAACAAGATCACATGTCAGTAGAAAAGTAATGCACCGGGTTTATATGTTGATAATTCATCTGATGAATCTTCTCTTCATTTTTATTGAAGGGTAATCCAGGCTTTATAAAGGGGGACTTGGAAGCTAGACATATAATTACTACTGACTTGTCTTGTTGAGCATGCTTTGGAAGACAAAAAGTAGAGCTGGGCACAAAACAAGCACATTTCCCTGGGGCTTGCCAGGGATGTTCTGTGGTATTTACGCATGGGCTGAACAGCAGAAAATTGCAGCTTCCTCACTTACTTACATGCAAGAGTTGCAACATCTGAGCTAGTGGGGAAGAGGGGTAAAAGACACAGTGTGAGAAAGATGGGAATTGAGAATAGCAGAGAACCTGAGGGAAAAAAGAAAAGGGCAAGGTGAGGGATTAAAAAAGCTGTGTTTAAATTAGTTCCTTTCATAGAGCAGCAGCTTGGTGCCCCCCAGCCACTGATTCTCTCTCTACAGTAGGTATCACTTCTATTGCGAGGCACTTACCGTGGGATTTTCCTGCAAGACCCACTTTCCAACAGAAAGGTACCGTAGAGAATTATACGATGAAACGAGTTTCCTTTTGCGTGCTGAAATAGGTCAGAAGTGGCTGGAGTACAGGGAGCTGGAAGGGTTCATGTGGTGCAGAAGAGCACTAAGCCACAGGTGTGGGAGCACCAGAAGAATTAATTCCTATGTATTCTTGTTTTCTTACCACTGCTTTGTCCCAAGGGAAATGTATTCAAGTGTTATAGATGAGAGTCTGTTAACACAAAAGGTTAAAAAGAGGAAAAAGGTTTTCCAGAAAAGCGAAATGGAAAATTCAAGCCCCATGTTTAAGTCATGTTCCCAGCCAGAGCAGAGCTGCCTCCCTGCTCTAAGCTGTGTTCCCAAAGTGGTGGTAGCTGTTTTGACCTCTTTGGGTTGTCAGTGCAGAGCACTGGCTCCATTAGTCTCATCTCAGCTGGCAACTCATGGTCTGGGGAGATCCCAGCAAGCAGCAGATAGTGCTAATGGGGATAAAATGGAAATGGTTTAGCAAAGTGATCAGAAGGGCTCTCTGCAGCATCCTTGGCTCTGGCCCCTTTTGCTGCATGCTGCATTTCCCCTGCCTGAAAGGGAGGGGAAAAAGGAAGAAAAAAATAAAAGGCACAAAACAAGAATGAGGATGTTCTAGTAATAGCAGTGAGAACCGTAGCAGATGAGATAGTCTGGTTCTTTAACATAGAGAGCACAAATCTGAATCCTTTATCTAGACCCAACATCGCTCTTCCCAAGGAGTTTGTGTGGACAAGGGCTGAAAAAAAACTCACTTTCCTGAACACCAGGTAAGCAGAAACAGTACTCAGGTCACAGGGCAGAGAGTGATTCTTTCACTTGCCAGAGAAGAAGGTGCACACAAATAGAAATTGCAGCTAATTCCCTGTCCATGGCAGGGGGTTGGAACTGGGTGAGCTTTAAGGTCCCTTACAACCCAAACCAGTCTGGGATTCTATGATTCTAACATTGCTGCAGCCTTGTAATCTTACCAGGTATCAAATACATCCCTTATATTTTGTCATTAACTTAGTATTGCAATGAAAATAATGATGGAAAAATGCCTAATGTTTGTATATTGTCTGATAATTAAATAGCGGAAAGATGTGTCAGCTCATTACTGATCATAATTAAAGCAGTTATTTCCTTTCTCAGCTTAGATGTCCTTAATTCAATGTACTTGGCAAAGAATTGCCTCTTTTCTCTAAATAATTAGCAGCTATTGTTGCTGTGTTGGGGGCTGACCTCACATGGGATGCTGGTGGGTTTGCCATAGCACTAGTTCCACAAGCACCAAACAGCATCAGCTCTGTTCAGCTGAAGGGCTTTAGTTTGGATAGGAAGAAGAAAACAAAGGCAGATTGTGGAAACAGCTAAAGAAGTTCATACATCTTGTGAAGCTTTCCTGTCTCTCTTGGGTTTGGCTGTAACTATTTTTGTTTATCTGGGGATGTCTTACTGCGTTTTTCTAAACTATGGTTAAATGGGAGGTGAAGGGTCTAAGAGGTTTTGATATTGCTTATGCTGGGGTAAAAGACTAGGAAATGTTTTAATAAGCCCACACTTTCCAAACATTTTAAAATGGTTTTTATCTTTAAATCAGTTGCTGAAATAGCACCTCCTGACTGTACGTATGCTTTGTGCCCAGAGAGTGTATTCAGAACCGTGTAATGGTACAATCCAAAGGTTGTCCCAAGACAATGTTTATACCTATGCTTCTTTGGCACTTCTGTGAAGGAGGAAGCCTTCCTCAGGATGTGGACGTTGGCTGTTTACCTATCCTCATCAGTAGTACCAATGTCTGCCTAAGACTAAATTTTTCATTCATCTTGGAACAGAGTGGAGACTGTTTTGCTGGCTTGAGTGATACTTATCAATTGTTTTTGTTTTAACCAGCTAATGACGATTCTGATGTAGAGATTCAAGATAATGATGGATCCGACAGTGAAACGCAAGACAGGCAGACCAGAAAGCAGCACACTGCCACAGGAACATTGCTTCAAGGTATTTGAACCTTCCCTTAGTTGCCTTTATTCAGAATGGTACACTGGGATTATGTGAGTAACCTAAATTGAAAGAAGGCCCTGTACCACTGAAGGGTTTGGGCACTGCTCTGTTCTCATGAGCTGTAAGAGGACAGTGTCTTGTGGAGAAAACAGCGCTTTCAGGGGAGCAAATTAAGGGTTATTTACTGAAAAAAGTACCACATGAGGAAAATCCTTCTTTGATACTGCCTTAGAGATTCCTGATTTATACAAAGCCTTAGAAAAGTAATACCATTTCTTATTGCAAGCACTTATTTCCCTTTAGCTGTTGACACTCATTCTAGTAGTCTTCTTCAAAAGGAGACCTTTAGAAAGTCCATAAAGCCACCTGCACTGACACAGTCATGGGTCATATGGGAATAACATGAATTATTCCTCTAACCCATGGGTCAAATGGATAACCTGAGTTATTCCTTTCAGGGATGGACATCTGTTCATGTGGAGTGGAGCTGCCACCTCTGGCTGCTGATTCCACTAGAGTCCTGGTCAGAAGCAGCTCAGAGAAATGACCCTCTGAGGATCTGTGTTTCACTTAGTGGAGAAATAAATGCTCTGCTCAGTCTTTAATCAAGCAAAATGAACCCAGGAATAGGGTTAGTTCTTCTGGGTGATCTTGTTAGTGGTGAGTGGTTCTGACCATCAGCAGAAGCCTTTCTGGGATCTGGATGGAGTGCCTGGGTGTGTAGTTTCATGTGCCACTTCTTCTGCTGGGACCTGTTACTTGGATATGGAACAATACTGCTGAGATGTGTGGTTTTCTGAGCTGAATTCTGCTCTCCTCTCTCTGAGTGAGACCAGAGGAAGAAGCCAGAATTCTCACATTAATATAATTCAAGCATTTTTTTATCCTCATTTCTTGTGTTATTCATGAAACTTGAAAATTCTTGAGAAGTGCTGGAAACACTACTATTCACTAAGGATTTTTACATTGCCATTTCTCAGGGAAAGGTTTGTACACATTTTCAGAGTTTTGGAAGTGACTGGGTAACTGTGTAATGCTTTATCTCAAAAGGCATCATAATCTCGTGATGTGGGTTCTGGCTGCAGTGAGCTCTTAATACCACTTCTAGGAGTGAAAAGTTTTGTAATAAAAGTTATATATTTTGTTGCTGGTATATTTGTTTCTAGGAATAATTTTGTTATCATTAATTATGGTTAATGGAGACTCAACATTAGCTTGCCAGACTTAAAGCAAGTGGTTCAAATCCCTGGGATGTTTCCTCTGCTGTGCTGTTTAGATTGCTTTCTGTGCTTTTGTTAGGTCTCTTTCTAGTGTTTAGTAAACTACTTCTGGCAGATAATTATCTCCTGACTTTTGCATACCCTGAGCATGCTGTTTGCTACTACACAGTCACCATCCAAATCTTTACTCCCCTTATCTCTGTGTCAGTTGAAAGCCTCCCATAGCTCTCTGTCCTCTTTCTGTCTCTCACCTATGGTGAACTACTGAAGCAGCTCCAGGAGTGTTAACTGGCTCCTAGGATGCCTTTCTGACAGGTCCTGTGGAAGGAGTAAGGTTTTATTCTCCCATTCTAACTCAAAACACTGCAGTCTGACAGTGCTGTAATGCAACCTCTTCTGGCAGAGATGGATACAAACATCATTAGACTCTTAAGAGAAGGATTGTTGTCTCACTTTTCTGCTTTGCTGAGGTTACTCATCATCACCTTGGGCATCTACCCAGTAGCTCTAGCTGTAGCTACACTGTGAGGTTAATAGCGGGCTCTCTGTCTGTGCCACTGGCTTTGATTCAAAATGTCAGCAGTTATTGTTTAGGAAAACTCAACTTAGGGATATCTCTGCTGCTGGTGTTAGAGTGAGCTTGCTCAGTCCTGCCCATTCTTCTCTGTCCAGAACATAGGAACAAAACTTTGGACTGTGTCAAGATATGAGTCAGGCCAAAGCTCTCCTTGAGGAGCTCCAGCCTGATGCAGAGTGCACACTATGTGACAAGCAGTTCTAGCCTAGAGAACAGGCTCAAATCTGCTCTTCTCCACTGGTGTAAATGGGCTTTTCTGGTCCAGGTCTGTCATTGATGGTGAGGTTACATGTTTGACTTCATGACCCTCACCAAATGAAGTGCTGGAGACCTGTCAAGACCCAAGATTCATATTAGGTGTGTCAATTTCTTCAGAAAATCAGGCCTGCGCATTCGTTGGCTATATATCTTTGAAAACACCAAGAACGGGTGCATGTTCTTCAGCACAGGTAGCTTGCATTTAGAATATACTCAATTATTAAGGCAGCGCAACAAGAATATTATTTGTATTATTTGATGGTTTTTTCCTTGATTTTATTCACAATATTTCAATCACTTTCTTTTGAAGCTTTGTGTGTTCTTGCATGGTGGTGTGCTTGTGAGCCCTGTTTGCGCTCAGTCTGAGGAGAAATGTCCACTGTGGTCCATTCCTGCTGTGCTTTAGTTTTACATTTCTAATTTCCAGGTTATTAATATTGTAAGATAAGTCTTTATCCCCCTGTCTGTAATAGGTGAGCAGTGTGTTTTGCCATTATAGAGGCAAGATTCACGGGGAGAGATAATCTCTCTTATTAGACCACATGGTATAATTGAGAAAAAATCAACCCTCAAGAGTCCTTTCACTAGGTTTGTCTGGATGCAGTAAAATTTGAAGTAAATGCAGCTTTGACTATTGCTTCTGGTTTTATTCTTTTAGCCAGTTAGAAGACTTGAAAGTATAGGATTTATTCTCCCATGGAGCAGAAAAGAGTGTTAACTGGGAGACACGCAACAGGCTGCCAGTTCCTGTGGTACAGAAAGCAAAACCCTTATTCTCTGTGTACAAAGAGGAGTAGGCAGTAGCAGGTTAAGGAGGAAGCATGTAAGGTGCTGTGGAGATGGTATTTTCATTGAGTTCAATGCTTCTGGTTCAACAGTACAGCAGACCCAGATTTAGGAAGCCAGGAAGGTTTCTGTGCATGGAGGGAGCAGGCATGGGGGCGAGAATAAATGCCTGGGAGGATAGTCACCAAACTGACAGATGCTGGCTTTCTGGGTTTGTGAAACCACAACCTGCTTTGTTATCACAACACCACAATTACAGGCAAGTCTCCACCTTGATGGGGCTTATTATAATCAATTCTTATGTCACTAATCATTTGCTTTTGTAACTTAGAGAATGCATTGATTTATCATCCATAACTTCTAGTTTGACCATTGTCAATGTCAATAAAAATTCACATCCAATTTTACTTTGTCTGGCAGTAAATTAGTGAGGCTGCTACGCAAATAAAAGAGATGCATGGACTTCCCTGAGGCCAAACCATGAGTTAGTGATGGCGTTTGGAATAAGACTTTCATTTTGTCAGAGAGCCAAAGAAAAAGAAATTCGGGCAATGTTGAAGATCTTAACTATCTTCAGTGTAGAGAAAACTTTTGCCTGAAACAGGCCATTAACCAGTAATTTGCAGCAGGATGGTTGTTTACATGCAGATGGGGTAGACATCAGGGTAAAGAATGCAAAGCCTTGTCCTGGGAATGGAGAAGCTGCCATGCTGGATCAGGCATAAGGTCTGTCCAGCCTGGTGTCCTGTCTCCAGCACTGGCTGAAAGAAGATGCCTGGGGAAGAATGCAGGAACTTCCCTCAGGTTCTCTCCTGCTCTCAAGCTTTTTCAACCTCCATCAGGACTTCATGAGCCAGATGTGGTTTCCAGGAATTTATTCCACCCTCAGTAGATTGTTTAGTTTTAATTATTTTTTCCCTAAGAACCTGTCTGGTCTCCCCTTGAACTAAAGTGGATCTGTTTCATCCTTGCTGTCAAAACCAGCAGATTTTGAAGTAATGTTGTGATGACATGTGCAGGTCCATCTTCCCAGTCTCATTTGGACCAGAGTTCTGCATAGCATTTTGGCACCATGAGGGTCTCTCCTCTTCTGAGTGGCAGCACTGACAGATTGGGTTACGCCATGGCACTGGCACAGACTGTGTGCCACACTGGCACACACTGTGCTTGCAACAAGGTAGGCAGTGGAAATGCTACTGAATGAAGGAGAAATGGTCCATGCTTGAAAAAACATGGAACTGTGTCTGTCAATAGTAAATTAGTATAGTGTGGAGCAGAGACTCTGACTGCCAGGATCTGTCAGCTGCTGTAAACCAGTTATCCAAATGCTTTAGCTTATGTTTTCTCATGTTGGTGTTAAGGGGGAGTTTTGCCCTGTTAGGCCCAGAAACCATTCCACAACTGCGGCAGTAACAGCTTTGGTCCCATTTAGTCATTATTGTAAGAAGACAGCTTTATAAAACTGAATGTTTCTCAGCAAACAACCTGTCCAAAGTCAAACAGTGAGGGAGCAGCTGTCTTACCTTCTCAGAAGTGACCCAGAGGTTCCATGTGGTAATGATGTGCTGGCAGCCAGGTAGCGAGTATATTTGCTGCTGGATGATAAAATCTGTGGTTGTGAAAACCTGCGCTGTTTAACACAGCAAGAACAAATCTGTATCTGGATGCAGCAGGTGAGAATAAAAGACAAAGCGAAGTGAGTACATTGGAGGAAGTGGAACCCAGTATGTGCTGCTGAATAATACTGCCAGGCTCATGTAGCTGGGGAAAGGGGGACAATCAGGTATGTTTGGAAACACTGAAAAAGGGCTGTGACTAGAATTCACAGAAATTAATTTGTCTTAACTTGAAGCAGATCTTCCTCCCACCATTTCAGCATCTGCTCCCAACAGACCTGCCTTTGGCTGTATGTCTGGAGATCAAGTCTGATGAGGAACTGCTGAGGAACTGGGGTTTTAGTCTGGGAAAGAGAAGGTTCAGGGGGCACTTTATCACTCTCTACAACCACCTGAAAGGAGGATGGAGCCAGGAGGTGGCTGCTCTCTTCTCCCAAGGGGCAAGGGGTAGGACGAGGAAACAGCCTCAGGCTGCACCAGGGGAGGTTTAGACTGGATATTAGGAACAATTGCTTCCCCAAAGGGTGCTCAGGCATTGGAACAGGCTGCCCAGGGCAGTGGTGGAGTCACCATCCCTGGAAGTGTTCACAAACCCTGTAGACGAGGCCCTCAGTGACATGGTTTCGTGGTGGCCTTGGCAGTGCTGGGGAACAGTTGGACTTGGTGATCTTAAAGGTCGTTTCCAACCTGGCTGATCCTATGATTCTCTGTTTTGTGTCAGCAAAGTTAAGTGCTCCCTGAGAGGGAGGAGGTATTTCTGTGCACTTTCAGCTTGTGTGGTGGCCATTGCAACACTGGACGTGATGGAGAAGGAGGGGAACTTGTAGGTCTGTAATGATGGGAGACAGGTCACTCATTTCCAAGTGAATTTCCTTTTTGTGGAGAAATAATTAGAGCATCCTCAGCCTGGGCAGCAGCTGAAGTGTGCTTAATTAATCATTGTACTTTGGCAATGCCTAGAGAATACTATTGATATCAGGGCCTGGCACTAAGGGGTACACTTAAGAACACAGTGCCCAGAGGGCACACAGATTAGAACCATCAGGGAAAAGATTTATCTCAGTTTTCTGTGTGTGGAGGTGGTGCAGAGGGGAGGTGTCTTATTTGAGCTCATGTTCTGAGTTTGCAGTAAGAGCTGGAAACTAAAGGCACATCTCTGAAATGGGAGCAAAATGTTTCGGCTGCAAATCTACCTTTCCTTCATGGTTGTCCTAACCTCTCAGATTGTGTTGCTTCTTGCTCTCAGACACAGGGTTAGCATACACCCACTGCTGGTAGACAATGTAAATCATTCCAGTCCTGCGGATCCATTGCGGGCAGCTGCTTGGGTTATCACAATGACAAGCATCACATGCAGAGGGAAAATGGCAAATGCTCACAGGCTTCAAATCATGGCTGCATGTCCACTTCTGCTCTTTGATGGCTCAGTGGCTATAAACCACGGCAGTGCACAGAGATGAGATTTGAATCCAAAGGTGCAGTGAATTACAGTCTGTTCATTACTAGCATTTTGCCCAATAATCACTTTGTACACCCTGTCCTGGCTGAGTTCACATTATTTGTAAGGAAACACAACAGGCTGTCAAGCACCTGCAAGCTGCAGGAGCCTCTGTGGCCAGAGCAGTGCAGCACTAATGCTGCAGCAAGCTGAGCCCAGCTGAACTGAGCCCAGGAAACGTAAAGCCATAAACACCCCAATACCTGCCAGCTCTCCCATCCCATGCAGACAACTCCTCTGCTTCCTGCCCCCGCAATACTTACGGAAATGCTCTGCAGCAATCTGCCACAACCTGCTCCCACACACAGAAACCTGGGGGTTTATAAATCTGAAAGTTAAAATAATGCTCCTGCCTTTGGTGCAGAAGCTCTGCTACCAATGTGGAAACCGCTTTCTCTCCTGTTTTAGTCTACAGCACAGTGCACAGGCTGGAGCTCCAGCCCTTCTGCATCCCAGGGCATCGCCTGTGAGTGTCCCAGGGTTGCGCTACAGGGCCTAATCCTGCTGATCCCATAGTCGCTAGTTCAAAGAGATGTGCCTGGCTTAAGTGATGGAGGGATCAAAGTCTGGGCAGTAGCTATTCCTCCTCTTCCTCCAAATAAAAGCAGATAGATGTCCGTAAAATGCCCTTAATGTTTCCACTGATGGCAGAGCAGCATCCAGCATCTGCAGACCTTCCGTTAGATTCTCTAAGCTCTTCCCCTGGCATCTTTGAGTGTCCTGTTTCATCATCTCTCCTTATGTGGTATCTTGATTCTCTTTTTTATTCAGGATCTCTGTCAGCTTTGTCTTACGAGTAAATTTTAGGAGCACTCTGCTGCTTTCTCTTTTTGAGGTAATAATTCCCTATCTAACACTTTATGCTGAGCCCTCTCCATAGCAAAATCAGTTAAACTCTTGGAGCCATCTTGTAGGCAGGGCAAAAATGTGGTTCCATTGCCATCTAATAATGCGACTTGTAATCATCTCCAAATTTAGAGGTTAGTCTACTGTAAATTAGAGCAAAAGTCTCTAAAGCTTGATGAGAGATCTTCTGTCCAGGAATGATCTTCTAATTTCATCCCCACTGCTGGTGTTATTAGCAATCTGATGGACAGGGGACACTTCTGATTGAAAGACATAAGATCCTCTAAATTGTCTGCCTTGACACAACAGGGTTTTTTTTGATGACTTCTGGATGGGCTAGCTTTTTGCTACAGCTAACCCAAATCAGTCTGCAAAGGAGATGAAAGGGACCTGTCTTCTGTACTTTGGGAGGTGCAAAAGAGGTTTGGCAAGATAAAAGTTGCTTTGTTTTCATGGTAAAAAAAAATAAAAAATAATTTGTCTAGGTTAGAGAAATCTATATTTGGCATAGAGAAAATTAGTGATAAGAGGAGATAAACAGATGTTGACATGCAATGGTTGCATCTGCTGGGTGCTGAGTGACTGCTGGTGGCTGCAGGAAGCATGGCTGAGTCACCCCAGCAGCCCACATGCAGGATTTCCCCAGTTGCATTTCTGCTGTACCCATTCCCAATGCCTTCCAAGCTCCTTTCCTAGCACAGGAGACCATGCCAGCACCTTCCCTGCTTCACATGGAATCTACATAGCCAAAAGGAGTGAAGCAAGGTGCAAGCGTGTTCTCTCTTTACAGTGAACTCCTACAACCCTGAAATCTCCACCTCTCTCTTCAGGCCTACACATCCAGCTGTCAACAAGAAGTTCTCAAGGTTTGCCTTGACTCTGTGTAGGTTTCCTATGAGATGTTGGTTCCTGCTGGAGTGTCAGAAAGGATCTGAGCAAAGAGGCTTACCACTGGGCTTCTGTTCTCTGTACACCAAAGCAGAGGAAGGAATATGCCAAGCCACAGAATTGATTAGGTTGGAAGGGACCTCTCGAGATCATCTAGTCTGACCCCTGTGCTCAAACAGGAGGTTTGAGCGTGTCCATACCCAGCTGGGTTTTGAATATCTCCATAGATAGAGACTCTACAACATCTCTTTGGCAGCCTTGTTCCAGTGTTTAGCCACCCTCACAGTGAAAAAAAAAAAGTGGTTTCTTGTGTTCAGATAGAATTTTCTGTTTCATAATGTGTCCCTGCCCATGGCAGGGGAGTGGAACTAGATGATCCTAAGGTCGTTTTCAACCCAAACCATTCTATGATTCTGTTGCCCCTTGTTCTATCAGAACTGTTGTACTGGCATAAGGTAGCTCTGGAAATACCAACCTGACTGTAATTACTGCTAGCATTACCCTCTTCTCCCTTCTCCTGAGCTCTGAGGCTTGGCAAGGGAGGTGACCTTACCTGCATTGCGATCTCATCCTCTCACTGGACTGGTCCTCTAAAATATAAACAGAACTATACCTTCACTGTCCCCCAGTGTTAACCCTGAGCCAGGCTTTATGGTGATTCTCTTTGCTCTTGCAGGAAGAACTGGCGTACGGATTGTGGGAACAATGCAAGGTGGAGATACAGAGGAAGATGTAAGTAACCATCCCACATGCCTGTAGAGCTTTTCCGAGTGCTTTAGAATGAAATCCCTCTCCTCAGCTAGAGAAACATCTTTTTACCTGGTGAATCTCCATGCCCTAGACCTGCTTTTCCCTCCTTTCCTGTAGCTGACAGCTTGCTCATCTGCATAATAACACATTTTTCAGTTTTGTTTGCTCTTGCAATCTCTGCCCTGTGCTTTACCCTCAGCTTGCAGTGCATAACTAACAGCCCATGGTCTGCAGGAATGCCATGGATCAGGAAGCAGGAGTTAATGGGCAAGTTGTGAGCTAGCACAATTCCAAAGTCCCAAGGAGAAGGTTAAAAATGAGAGGGACGTGGATAGGGGAATGTGCTTCTATAGGACATAAGAACAGTAGGAAACTCCCACTGTTTGCCACAGCTGTCTGGCAGTGTTGAGGTAGCCTTGCAAAGCTCTGCACTGACTATTTGTCCTTCAGGCAGGGCCAGAAGAGAGAAAAAAACAATGCTACTGAGTGTTCATTGCAGAGACCTGGAGGCACTAGAGCAATAAGGGAGCTAATTCTCTTACTAGAGAGGGATGAGCTGCCCTTTCTGCCCATCACCTTTTCTCTGGAAAGGAACTTGCAAATCATGCTCTGCTGTTTGCTTGGGCCACATGGATGTGGTTAAGGCTGTTTGATGCCTTCTGGGGAATGATTTATGCCCTTGGCATTCAGACCCAGTTCTGGATAGGGTCAGGAGTGACAGTGCTGTTGGCAAAGATGTTGTGACCTCTGTCACAGTGCTGCTCAATGGTCCTTGACCATGTTCTTGCTAGATTTGGATAGTCATCCTCTGCAATTTCTCTTCCCTTTGGACTTTACTGTTCACAACTTTTGCACATACCTCTCTGGCACAGCCCTGGCATATCCAGGTGTGGAAAGCCAAGGCCTTCAAACTCTTCTTGCCCTCAGCTGCAGCCACTTCAGTTGTCTCATGGCTCTGACCTCTTAATACAACACCTCAGCAGGCCCTGATGTTGAGAGGCTTTGCTTAGGGACCCTTGCAGGCATCCCCATGTCTGAGGTCAGGAAAGGAAACTAGGGAGGCTGGTTTGAACCCCTCCAGGAGTTAATTGGGTTGTGGAATTGAGAAGAGAGAAGGCTTCAGCTTATCAAAGAGCCAGCGGCTATATGCCCAGCCTTTGTCACTTGTTGGTGTGTCATATGATGCCTGAGTTGTGCCTGGCTTTGCTGCCTTCTCCCCTGCTCCCATGCTGGTTTCTTTCTGTTTTCTTTCATGTTTTTGTATTTCCTCCCCCCCCCCTACTCTGCCTCCCTTGTTTTTTGCACTCTGGTTCTCCAAGGGGAGATCTGCCCCAGGCACACCCAAGATCATCGCCAAGGCACAGGTGGGTTTCTCTCTTGCAGTTCATTTTCATTCACTGCACCTTGTCTTTTCAGTCTCTCAATAGGTATTACTTTAAACACTTTGCAAAGTTTTTAATACCAGATTCAGTAGAAGTCAGGGAGTTTGCTTTTGTCAGCCCTGTGAGGTGAGGAGGGAGGTTGTCAATCAATTAAGTGAAGCAGCCACTGTCTAGCAAAATGGAGAGCTGCTGGTGAAACCCCTATGGGCCATTAGCTGAGCTCTGGCTCCTCATTGTTTTGGAAGGCCAGCAGCACACAGCAGACTGAGCTGGAACAAAAACTCTTGCAGAATCTGCTGCGGTTCCCTGAAGTAAGTCCAAATCTGGATTCACACAAGTCCAGACAAGCAGCCTTCACCGTAGCCTGCAGGTATGTGATAAGAGTGCAGGGGAGGAAGCAACTCAGCATCAACCAGCCGTGCCTTTACTTCTGAGCTGGCAAAGATACCTTGCCATCTGAGATCTGAGCTGGGTTTGAACTCTGCTTTCCTACAGGAGGACTCGGGGGATAGTGAGATTGACCTGGATGAAGATGAGGAAGAGGATGATATGGAAGACAAAAGCATAGAAATCTCACCAAGAAAGTTTGTTCTCCGAGCAAGGAAACCAGAGCCACTGGAGGAAAGTGATAATGACTTCTGAGCCTGTAGGAGACATCTTGAAATACAGACTTGGAGAGCATGCAAGCCAGGACTAATATTCCACCGTCTTTTCAGCATGAATTCAGGGGTCTTTAAATAGTGTTCATTAAATTTGAAAATGAAACATGGATTGCCAGTCCTGAGACTCTCAAATCATGAGCAACTTATCTGTAATAAGAATCACAGTAATGTGGAGTACGGTTATATCCGTAATTGCAGTAGAACTGGCCCTCATGCATTGCAGTGCCAAAACTCACGCTCCAGTGAGCATCATGTGCTTGATTTCCCTGCCTTTTATTATGTCCAAACAGATTTTTTTTGGCTTAATAAAACTGGATGAAAAGCTGTTCTGGGAATACATTTAAATTGTTTTTAAATTTGGCTTAAATCTATTTATCCTAAACATATCCTTTACTTAATTGAGGGCTTGTCTCCACAAAGAGCAGCACCAGTTAGACTGAAGGAGTGAAATTAAAACTGGGAAGGTAGTGAAGGGGTCCTCAAATACCACCTTCAGTGCAGCATCTCTCTGTATTTCAGCTGTGTTGGTGGGAATTGTTCTCAAACTTCAGTCCCTGTGTGCTCTGAGAGACTGGGCTATAACTTAATCTGTATGGAATTAGCCCCTTAATTATTCTGGTACTTCTGGGGTGGACTCAGATTTCAGCACTCAGATGGGCCAAAACTTGGGCTTTTGTTCAGTAAGTCATAGTGATGCCATCAGTGAAGGTCCATTCAGGTGAACACAAGGGCTGGAGTTCATCTAGTGTGTTTTCTCTGCTTTAGTGTCACATTTTGTCTTCACAGGAGCAGAAATCAGAGCTTGATTAGAAGAGCTCTTTTTGGTGTATGTTCAAGAGGGTAGATGAGAGTGTTTTGGCTGTTCTTCTGCTCTTCCCTTTTATTACATCGGCAAAGTACTTTGCTTTTCCCTCCATCTGAAGCCTAGAGGCAGGTCCAACCCCTCCATTACTGTGCTGAAGGAAAGAATACATGTGAGTTACTTGAAAACTCAAGAGCTTTTTCATCTCTCCGTGTTGCTGAACCCAAAGGTGGAACCATCACACCCAAGGCAGTTCCCCATCAGCAGAGCTCACAGCTTGAAATGGCATGTCAAGCTGGGACAAAAGTTTACAGGTGAATGCAGCACAGGTTTTGTGTAGTGATGGGACATACATGGGTGCAGTGATGTGCTGAAACACACACAGTCATACAGGCTGGAGCTAAACTGGCTGGTGTTAGGGCACTTCCTTGTACTCTACAAAATTAATTGGCATTTTGCACCTCACTTCAAAGAAAGCAGACACAGCAGATGGTGCTTTACCCCTCCTGCAGAACCGTTAGGGTGGTGCTGTGACAGTCAGGGAGGAGGTGGTTGTGCTCAACACATCCTTCTCCCAAGGGGTAAGTATGTCCTGATTTTTAGGACCTGGTCCAAAACCATTTCTCTGTGTTATGCAGGAAATCTGTTCTGGTCCTCCCTGTGAGCTGGGATGCATCTGACCTGTGAGACTTCCCATGAAACTGGGCCCAGTGCCCAAGTCTGCGTTGCAGTTTCAGAGCTAGTTTTCCATGTTTCTGTTTCACCCTATATTGTAGGGTGAAACAGAACATTGACTTAACACCTTGTGTACCCAGAACCAGGGCACATGTCACCTGCCTTCCAGAACAGCCACCAGGTTCAAGCCAGGGTTAGCATTGCAGCTTCATGTACCGTGCTTGAGCAGCAGCACCTCTGGAGGCAGTGGAAATGAACACTCTGAGCTCTTGAGCTTTCCTCTTGGGGTTGTCTGTGCATAGCAAGGCGTGTGCATAGGTGAACAGATCCATGAAATCTATTTTAAATTGTTGTTAACTCCTTGTTTTCTGGAGCTCCGGGGCACAGGAGCTGGCTTGGCATTGTTGATCACTCTCTCTGTTGGTGTTTTAGGTAAGGTTTCTGCTCAGGGTTAGGCGCAGGCTTTGCACAGAGCTGGACCTGAGCCTCAGGTGCCCTGAAATAGTGGTGAAAGAAGTGGGTAGGATTTAAATCACTCCATGTTACCATGTTGGAGTGTGTGGAAAAGCCATGAGCCTCTTGTCACACCAGCACAGGGGAAGGGTACACAGCCAGGGCAGCAGAGCACAGTGCACCCTGAATGGAATGGAACAGAAGGCTGCCCAGAGCATCTTCTCAGCTCAGAATCGATTTATTCCCAAATATGTACACATTGCCCCTCTCAGCTCGGCATTTCTCCAGGAGGTTTCTCCACAGAGGTCCCTGAGTGATCTGAGCCCTGCTCAGTCCCTGAGCCCTGAGTGCAGCAGCAGCATGTCACAGTGTGGGCTCTGGCTGGGGTGCGGTAGGGAGAGGGGGCAGTGGCTGGAAGGGGCTCAGGGGGCGGTTGCATAGTTTGGCTACTGGACCACCCGCAAACCTGGCACCTTCTGGAGAGTTGCTGGGTCTCTGCCACATACACAAAGGCATCACCCAGCACCTCTGCTTCCAGCAGCTGCCTGTCAGAAAGGTGAACTGCTCGGGATGGACCCTGCCTGCAGCTGGGACATTGGGAAGACGCATCCCCACATCCCAAGGTCACACTGATGACACAAGCACAAGACCCAAGAAGTGCAGCTTGAACTTGAGAGCCAGAACTTCGTATTAAAGCAGTCTCGGTGTAACGCCAAGACACGTGTGCTGGAGACAGCCCATGTCATGCAGTGCTGTTCCTCTTATATTCACCCTCCCACTCCTCCTCCCACTATCGTGAGGGCTCTTAATTTCCCAATGTTTTTCTAGGTGGTTCCATGCATGTGCCTTGGGATGCTGGTCTCTTTGATAGAGAACAGCACTACCAAGCACTTCAGGCATGCTTGGCCAGCACCAACCTGTTATTGAGGGCAAACAGCACAGGTTGCACTTACTGCCTATGATCTGCTCTGAAGTGCCTGGGTCCATAGCATCACTCTCATCTGAGCAAGGAATCAGCAAACCTCTCCTTGTCTCTCTGGGATTTCGTAGGAACCTGCAGGGTGGGCTATATTTAGGCAGGTGAGAAGAGGCTGCTGTGAATCCTGCCCGAGTTTCACCTCATCCTCCTGGGATCCCTGCCAGAGGCAGACAGAGAAGAGCTGGTGCTGAGAGCAGAGTCCTGGAGCCCTGGCTGCAATATTTACCCACAGTGCCTCAGGCTGTGACAAGAACAGAGCTCCGAGTGGTCAGGATGTGCCTGGTATGGGACAGGGTCTGTGCAGAGCACGGTAACCCCATGGAGATCACAGGAGGGAGTCCTTGTCGCCAGGATGGTGGCAAGTCACCCATGAACACAAGAAGGGCTGGTATGTGGGATCTGCCCCCTCCTCCCTCCTTTTTCATTTCACTGCTTCCTTGAGGCTCCCCCAGGGCCTGGATGAGCAGGGACATGGCATATATCCCTCAGCTTTCAACACAAGTGAGTCTTGACCCTCCTGTGCTGCTGATCCAGAGGCTGCGGTCCTCCTGGGCTGTGCCAGGTAGCTCAGGAGCTCTCCTCAACCCAGCTCTCCTGAACCCAGCTCTCCTCCCTACGACAGCCAGACAGGGCCCAGGCAGCTCCCTGTAAATCCATGGTGGCCAAAGGAACCACTGGGTCACCTCGTCACTGTGGCCAGGCACCTCACACATCCACCACGCAGCTGGGGGAGTTAGTCCGGATGGCATCGGAGATCATCTTGGCTCCCGACTGGCCAATCTGGTTCCCCTGCAGGCTGGGAGCAAAGAGGAGTTCAGGTTTGGGCATGAGGCAGAGCAGGATCCTTGATGAGTATGAGAGATGTTCCCAGCTTTATACCAGCATCCAGCATCATCTGTATGCTCCCCATACCACCCAGGGGCTATTCTGGAGATGCCTCTGGGAGGAGCTGAGCCAGACCATTCTTGTGATATTTTAGGGTGTATTTTGCTTTTGGGTGGTTCTTTGCCACAGAGGCAGCACCGGAGAGGGACTGTGAAGAAATGAGCTGAGTGGGTATGGTGCTTGGGAGGAGCACAATGTGTCCTTGTCCCTTTCCCCACTGGGGAGGTCCCTGTAGGACAGCTGGGAATGGGCAGTGCCAGCAGTGAGAAAGGTCCTGTGACGGTTCCTGTTGTCTCTGCCATCCCTGCCTCACCATCCAGTGCAGTGGCCACTTACTTGATGTAGGTGAGGCCATGGTTTCCCTTCAGAGCAGTGGCGATGCAGATGGCTCCGTCCATGCCCAGGGAGTTTTCCTGAAGGCTGCAGGAAGCGGGAGGGTCAGAAAGCCCCAGCCTGGGAGATGTGGCTACCAGGAGGCAATGCATGTAGTGGGCATTGGGAAAAGCCCCCAGCTCAGGGGTTTGCCTCACTGAGAACTGCTGGCCTCCAGGAAGGTCTGGAAAGGCTTGCTCTGGCTCACCCCAGGGAGCAGCATACTCACTTGAGCCAGCAGAGGCTGCGGTTCACCTGCAGCGCGTTGGCCATTGCCTTGGCCCCAGCCACCCCAATGGAGTTTCCCCGCAAGCTGCAGAGAAAGGCAGGCGGTGAGGAGTGACAGCCATGGGGGGCAAGAGGAGGTGGGAGAGGTGTCCCCATGCCAGCAAGTCAAGGGACAAGACAAGTCTGGTAGGACGTGATGCAAGGATGCTGAGTTAAGGACCAGGGTCCTGGACACCTCCAGGGAGCAGTGTCACAGCCATGGGGACTTGTTGACCCCACCAAGCACTTACTCCAGGATCTGCAGGCTCTTGTTGACCATCAAAGCTTCTGCCAGGGCTTGGGCACCAGCCATGCCAATTGAAGCCACCTGCAGGCTGCAAGAAAGCAAGGACCTTCAGTACATGTCGTGAGGGGGCCATGGTGTGTTAATTGGACAAGCTAATTAGACAGGCTGCAATGCCAGGCCCCAGCCACAGCCTGGATACTCACTGCAGATGTGCCAGGGTTGTATTGAACTTCAGCGCAGTGGAGAGGGCAGCCATTCCCTCGTCTCCAATGGCATTTTCCTGCAAGCTAAGACATGCAAGTGCCAATCTCCCCATGGTCCAGGCATCCAGGAGTAGGGAGAGGGGCAGCAAGACAGGGCACAGTGTGCTAGGCTTTCCTAAACAGCATGGGGGACTCTGGGCCACATGCATTTAGAGCATCCCCAGCCAGGTACAAGTGATGAAAACACAGGATGGACTGGAGCACGTGGAAGAGGCAGCAGGCAAAACCACCTCCCCTGGAGCAATGTGAGGGCAGAGTCCTTGTGCAGGCCCCTGTACGAAGATGCTGCCCAGGACCTGTCTGCCCATGTCCCCACTTACTCGAGGCTGGACAGGCTGCTGTTGGACTGTAATGCTTGTGCTAGGGCTGCAGCAGCTTTTGCCTGGATGAAGTTCCACTGCAAGCTACAAACAGAAGAAAACAACAGGTAAAGCTTAGGATGGCAAGAATGCCCCTGTCCCTCCAGGCTCAGCACCCACCCATTCCCATCCAGTGTGGCAGAGGCCAGGAAGTGACCCATGTGTAAGACGTGGTGGCTCCATCCGGATGGCATGGCACACCTCCCGTGGAAGGGTGACCCAAGGAAGCCACTCTCACAGACTAGAGGGGCTGAGGCCCAGGAGCAGTGTCCCTGCCCAGCATTCACGCAAACAGCTTCAAACCAAGCCAGGTCCGAGGGGAAACTCACTGGAGGGACTTGAGCGCCCGGTTCTCCTTCATCGCTAAAGCGATGGCCTTGCCGCCCTCATCGTACAGCAGGTTGGCTGCTAAGCTAGAGGCAGGGGACAGAGGACACGGGTCACACACAGAGTTTGGGACAGCTCCAGTGACTGTGCAGCAGCATTCATGCCCTTCTGTGGGTCAGGAGACTTACTCCAGCTTCCTGAGGGTGCTGTTGGTCCGCAGGGCATGAGCAATGGCAGGACCCCCTTCCTTGCTGATGGAGTTCTCCCTCAGGCTAGGGAAAGACATATGGGGCTGTCAAGGCATGACATTGCCTGTTTCCCACTCCTTGTCCCCTGCCCTGAATCTGAGACCATCTACTGTAATGGTGGCAGACTGCCTGCCTTGCATCCCCATCAGCATCTGCATCTCCATTCCCTGTGCTTCCTACAGCTGTGGGCACTGCTGGCCCATCAGGGCTTGTTCTCAGCCTCCCATCATGCTGCCATCATTTCGCTGTGGGACGTGACTGGATACTGTCTCAAGGGAAGAAATTTAACTGTGGAGAGAAGATGCTTACAGCTGATGGAGGGACAGTCTGCTTTCAGCATCCCAGAGTACTTGTAGAAAAAAACAGGCACAAACCCAGGCTGCTGACAAGTTTCTGTGTCACAGCAGTAGCTTTTGGCCAGTTTTGGTCACTTACTTGAGGTTGATGAGTCCTTTGTTGGAGCAGAGAGCTGCTGTCAGTGCGGTGACCCCAGCACTGCTGATGGAGTTGCTCTGGAGACTGAGACAAATGGGGGAAGATGTGAAGATGAACCAGTCGTGGCATTGCAGGTAGGCTGTGGGGTCGTGTTTGGGGTGAAAAGTGTCACATCTCCCAGCCACAGGAGGTGTGGAGGCAAGCCAAGTCTAAAGCACCAACTTCTGAAGCAGCCAGGCCAGGATCAGCATTCCCTGCTCACCACAGCAGCACTGGCCCCACTGAGCAGAAGTGGGTTTGCCAGTGCTTCGGACAGTATTGTCTGGCCATCACTGTGGCTGCCAGCTCAGCTGGACATGTGGTTCCTGTGGATTTTGTGTCCTTGTCAAGCCTTGGGAAGCTAGTGATGGACCTTGGGTACAGCAGCTCATGGCCAGGAGCCATCAGCTCTCTATGCTGGGTGAAAGGAGCAATCCATTCTGGCTGCCGTTCCCAAGGGGGATGAAGGTCCCACCATCCCACCCTGACTCTGCTGTTACCTTCCGTGTCAGCTAATTCCCACTGGGGAACAGCCTTTGGGAGAAGGCCCAAAGCTACTAATATCCTCCAAAAGCAGAGAAAAAAATCATCATCTGGGTTAGGATTAACTCCTTCAGTGGCAGCATTGTCTGACACTGCTCCATGGTGCTCCAGCCGTATGCCCCTGCAGGGGATGTGGTGTGGGAGAGATGTGGGGAGAGTGTGGGGCTGTTTGAGGGGACTGTGAAAGGTGGGAGATGGTGGTGGAGTGAGAAGGCTGGGATCTACTCAGCAAGCAGGAGACAGGGCACAGAGGGGAGCTTACTCGAGGCTTTGCAGGCTGTGGTTCACCTTCAGAGCTTCGGCCAAGGCAACCGAGCCATCGTCTCCTACTGAGTTGCTGGATAGTCTAAGACACAAGACGAAGAGCATTACTGGCAGTCATGCTGTAACCAGCTCAGATCTGCTGCCAGAGGATTCATCTCCCCCAGGCTCTTTCTGCTCCAGCAATAAGCATGAACTTGCTGCAGTCTCATTTCCAGACTACATGCACCTCTGTTATTGTACGTTGGATTTGAGCTGAAGTAGTTTTTAACATGTACCCACAGGGCCTGGAGACCTGCTGCTTGCCTCTGCTGGAAAGAAGACTTGTCCTCTTGGTTCTTCATGTGGCTCCCTGCATACCCACAGGTATGAAGAGTATCTCCACAGGGTTGCTCCAAAAGTAGCTCTGTGGTCCTTGCCCCCCTTCACCCACACGAACACCCTGGGGCAAAGCTCGCAGAGCCTATCCTGCCTGTGCTACATGGCCCAGCCCCTGCCCACAGGTCTATGGTGCTGGTGTCACCATCCCTCCACCTCATTGTGCTTTTACATCAGCTCCTTCAGGCTGCAGTTCTGCTTCAGCGCCTCTGCTATTCTCCTGGCACCATGGGCTCCGATGGCATTTTTCTGCAGGCTGTAAAGGTGAGGAAGGTACCTGTGAATGTCAGGTGCCACATCCCCATCAGTGGCACCTCGGTCTGCTCAGTGGCAGGGAGGGGGGACAGCAGGTCCCAGACACTCACTGCAGGGTCGTCAGCCTGTGGTTGGTAAACAGGGCCTCGGCCAGGAAGGTGGCACCTTCCTCCTTGATGGTGTTGTGCTGCAGGCTGCAAGGGGAGAGAAGCAGGGCAAGGGACTGTGAGGGGCAGTGGCCACCACTACAGCATTTACTTGCCCTTGTCCTTGACATGAAAAGGGCAGCTGGCCCCCAAGCATCCTTGCCCAGGGGTCTCACTCCCTTCTCCCCCATGAAAGATATCTCCTTCCATGTAACAACACCCTGTGAGCTCCCATGTGAGGGATGGACCTCAACCTCAACCTGGACCCACTGAAGCTGACGGGCAGGAGGATCCCAACATCTCTGGCCCAGGGCTGCCTGGTCTCTGCTTGCTGCACTCATGCTTGCTGCCCAGTACAACTGAACCAGGTTATGTCCAGGGTCTCCCCATATGCTGGCCTTGGGGGTGGGGAAAACCGTGATGAGACTGGAGAAGGCTTGTCCTGGGGATCTGCCCCCAGAGGTGCTGCAGAAGTTGATACTTACTTCAGGGAGAGCAGGACTTGATTCTGTTTCAGCGCATCAGCCAGTGCTCTTGCTCCAGTGGGGCCAATGGAGTTGTTCTGCAGGCTGTGGTGAGACGCACAGAAAAGCCAAGATTAGCAAAACCAGAGTGGCCTGTGCCCAGTTTAAGGCAAATGCCTTCACATGGCACAGTCTCTGGCCCTGCTGAGCTCGAACATCAGGCCGGGAGCTTGCAAGAGTTATGTTCGCCTATTGAGCAGCAGTGGCTTTGGGGCTGAAGACCCTCCTCAGCCCAGTCAGGCTGAGTGGGATCCAGCCCCACTGCAGCCATGATAGCGGTTCCAGGTGGGGAATGTATGTGACAGGAGCTGGTAAAGGGGGATCACTTACTCCAGTGCTGTCAGGCTCCTGTTCACCAGCAGTGACCTGGCCAGTGCTTTGGCTCCCTTGTTGCTGATCTGATTTTCTGCCAAACTGCCCAGAAAAAGGAAAAATTGGGTGTTTTCAGGGTGAGAGAGAGGATCCTGGCATGTCCTAGGATGCAGCTTGGATGGCTGAGCAGAGGAAAGTCATGAGGAATGTTTGATTCGAGGTACAACCATGCAAAGTGGTAGATGCTCTGAGGTCTGCTGTCCTGGGGCGGACCCCAGGCAGGGCATTGCAAAGACAGGGTGGAAGGGGAGTTTCTAGACTTAAAATTCATTGGTGTTCTGAAAAGGGAGCTCAGATCACAGCATGGGAGACTCTGCACAGCCACTTCAGAAGGGCAGGGAGGTGGGAACAGTGGGGATCCCTCTGTCTGGGGCAAGGCAGAGCTCTGTGTCAGGAGCCTGTTCCTTCTGTATGTCAGGTGCTCCATGCAGAGCCTCAGGTGTCCAGCAACCAGCTGTACCCTTGGAAAGCAGTTTGTTGGGATAATGCATGGATTTCTGCACCAATTTTTAGGAACAGCGAGGAGGCAGTGGTCCTTGGAGGGCTGAGTGAGAGAGCCTGCCCAGGCACCGCAAGGATATGAGGGGAAGGTCACCATGCCTGGGTGCAGGAGATTGTGTGGGACTGTGCTTGTCAACAGCACCCAGGGCAGCCAGTGTGAGAGACATCCCTAGAGGACCTCCACCCTGGTTTTGAGGTGCCCCAGCTCTGCTCTGCATCCACAGAACAGCCTATCTGCCCTGGGCCAGCTCCCACCTGAGCTTCTGGATATGGCAGTCCTTCACACTCAGCATGCTGCCAAGCAGCTCCATCACATTGTCCTTAAACCGGTTATTGTCCAGCCTGGAGAAGAAACAAGGGAAGAGCAAAATCAAGTGTTTGGAGAACAGAGTGGAGAAAAATCTACCTTCCTGTGACATCTGCCCATCACAGGTGGAGAAGCTCCAGCAGAGAGGCAGAGCTGATCCATGGCCAGCCCTAGGGAAGCTCTTTGCTGACAGACAATGTTGGTGGGCCCCTGTCTCCCACTGACACCCAGGATTTTGAGTCACATCCTACCATCCCTGTTTGCTTCCCCTGCAATCTGACCAGGACTCACCTGAGGTTGTGGCAGAACAGGAGCTGGGAGAGAAGGCTCTTACAGACATTGTAGGTGAGGCAGTTGGAGAGGTTCGTCTCCTCCATGCAGACATCAGAGACCTGCAGGAGATAAGCCAGGGCAGAGCAGTTCACAGGGGTGAGCATCCCGGCCAAGCTCTCATTTTTCATTGCTTCTTCTACCATCTTGGTGACCTCCGTGTGCTGGATTTCATGGAGGCAGTGCATGGTGTTCACTGCCCGCGAGGAGATGGCATGGTCAGTGTTCAGGCAGCCCTGGAGGAAGCCGACTGCTTGGCTCCTGAAGCTGTTGTGCTCATCCTTCACCAGCAGCCACCCGGAGAGCAGCTTGTTCACCTGCGGGGACAGGAGCCCGGAAAGGAAGCGCACAAAGATGTCCAGCTGCCTGTCCTCTGCCTGCAGCGACCTCTGAACAGCGTTCTTGAAGTGGTTGAGGAAACCCAGCTTGGGCCAGGACATCCCGCTCTCCGTGAAGAGGTCGAATATTGCCCGCTTTGCAGCTGTGTAGTAATAGATGGCTGCTAGAAACTCCTGTAGGGTTAAGTGGGAGAAGCAGTAAGCTGTGAAGGACTGCATCTCCTCTTTGAGCAGGAGCCGGCTGCACAAGCTGGTCTGCAGCAAGGAGAGGTCAATGCCATAGGCCTTCATGTCCTGCTCATAAAATACGTATCTCTTTTTCAGCAGTCCGTAGAAGGCCAGCCTGCCCAGGCTGCCCACTATCTTCCTGCTGTTGTTCACAGCCTGCTCGATCCTGAGGGTTTCTCTTGGCTTTTCTGGCCAGTTGCTGCTCAGAGCGATTTTAAAATAGTAGGAGTAGATTTCTGAAAGGGTCTTGGGGACACCAGTTGTTTCTTGGGGTTGATCAGTGCTGTGTTTTAAGTAATAACCAATTGAGGAACCACAAATCCAGCAAAAGCCAGGAACGGTGCACATGACGTGTAATGACCTGTTAGCCCTGATGTGATGCAGGACTTGGCCAGATAAGTCTTTGTTGTCTAGGAACATCTGGTCCAAGAAGTCCTTCATCTCTGCAGCTGCAAAACCTCTTATTTCTGTCGTCCGGTCAACAAGGCCACCAGGGATTTGGCTGGCTGCTGTGGGCCGTGCCGTGACCCAGATGGAAGCCTTCTGCAGCAGGTTGCCGCGTATAATGTTGGTGATCAGGTTATCCACTTGGATCTCCTTTTTGGGATCAGTGCATACTACTGTGTTGGAGAAATCCAGAGGAGTCTTGAACTCATCCAAGCCATCGAGGATCAGCAGGGTCCTGGCGGCTCCCGCCAAGATGCAGTTGGGCTCAGTGATGTGAGGGAACGCCGAGCAGATGAGCTTCTCAGCAGAGAGCTTCTCATAGGTGTTGAGCTCCCGGAACGTGAGGGGCAGTACAAAGATGATGTCTCTATTGATCTCCCCTTTTGCCCAGGTGTAGACAAACAATTTCACCAGTGTGCTTTTGCCAATCCCAGCAACTCCGATGGTGACAGAGATCCGAGGTGGGATGCTGAACTTGGAGAGAGGGAGGAAGAGCTTCTCCAGAGGAATGCTCTTGGATACATTTTGTAGTCCTTTAGTGGCTTCGATCTGCAGGATGTCATGCTCCTTCTGCTGGATATCAGTCAAACCTTCCACCAGCAGCAGGTTTGTGAGCCGCTGGAGGGAACCCGTCTCCAAGCCATTCCCATAGTAGCTTTGGAGACTCTCCAGGTGCTTCTGCACCATGGGTTCTGCACAGAGAGAAATGAAATGGGAGGTTGGGCTGAGGAAGAGGATGGTAACCACAAATGCAATTGAGATATGCTTCACTTTTCTGCCATGCCCAAGCAGAGGGGAAACCTCACAGAGCTGTTACATTCAGACAGGAAGGTATGTGCTTGGAGGGCACTAACAGGCTTAAATGGCACTGATCAGCATCAACCCATTGGTCCAGGAGCCCGTTTAAGCTCAGCCCTGGGCATTCAGCCACTACCTGAAGTATGTTGCAGGAGCATTTGTCTACGATGCCATTATGCCTGTGCCTGCTATGGACCTTTCTGATCTGGACCTTGGTCTTGGACTTCATTGCTCTGCACTTGCCTGGTGGCCATTGGGCTGTGTCTGAACCCATTTGCCCTGACTCTATCTGACCCTGACCTCTGGATTGACTTCCCAGCTTGACCTCAGCCATGCCTCATCGCCGTGAACTTGTCTGTCGAGTTGGAGTCTTGGCTGAACCTGGTGACCATCTCTGACCCTGTCCTGCTCACCTGGCTCAGGTACAACAGCTGCTGGTACAGTGTATTTAAACCCTTCAGCTAAGGCTGGACAATCAGAGGATGGTGCTGCAGACACTAGCCAAGGACGGAGCCTTCCAACCAGGAGGAAAACCTCATATGGCAAGAGGGTTGCAAGGAGAGCATGAAGTTGATGTAGGCACCAACAGATGGGGTCAGGGCTGCCCAGACGGTCCTCTTCTTGCCATCCCCCTGTTCCCAGCCCAGTTGCTGGGACTGAATGGTGTGATCTGGACATTGAGGACATTAAAGACTCCTCCAGCTGCCCATAGGAGTGTGCTGAAGGTAGCAAGGGGCCTGGAGGAAGGTCCCTCAGACATGGCAAAGAGCCCTTGTCACCCCCTGGCTGTGTCCTTCCCTAGCAGAGACCCTGCGATGGCACCATCACTTGCATGGACACTCCCATCAGAGCTGGAAATGCTTCCCAGCTCTGTGCATATCTTGTGGTGCTCCAGCAAGTGCCCATAGCAAGGATATGTGTGCAGACACCCCTCATTGTGTCCAAAGTAGACTGCCTACCGTAGACAGTGATGTAAAGGTAGAGCTGGGAATTGGTGGTCTCGATGAAGGTCTGCAGGGACTGGGAGGCGAAGCTGCCCTTGCCAGCCAGGAGGTCCACCACAGCCCTCACTTGCTCAGGCAGGGACCTCGCCTCCTGCGCCCACTCTGCCTCCTCTGCTGTGAGCAGGTCCAGCTGCCGCAGGTAGCAGATGATCTCCTCCAGGAATTGCGGTGAGACGGACCTCACCAGCTGCTTGCGGTAGCGGTTGATCCAAGCCTCTGCGGGGCAGGAGAACAGGGGAGTTGGGCCTTGAACAAGCTCTGGGCACGTTGCTCAGGGGTGGTGGGGAGAGGCAGCTGTGGGGCATCTATTCTGACTCCGAAGGTAGTGTGGGGAAACCAGAGACCTCCAGAGCGACCTGCCAAGGCCCTTGAGAGGATGGTACCCCAAAGCAGTGCAGGCTGTTTTGTCAGGAGCTGCTTGGTCAAGGCAGCAGCTATCAAAATTGGTATCAAAGAAACCGAAGAGCACAATCATGAGATAACATTTCCTCCTGGAAACCAAGCCCATGCAAAGATAAAAGTCTGAGCAAGATGATTTCTCTTTGGGGACAGCTGTTCCCCTGTGCCAGCAGAGCAGTCCTCAAGCCCTTGGAATAGGAACTGCTGTTGCCCTCACGCATTGGTGCCCACCTTGTCCCAGTTTTTAATATGAAACTCCACCAAGATGATGGCTCTCTGGCTGCCTGCCACCACTCACCGTCCATCAGAGGCCTCCTGTGATGTGGTGATCCCTGGGTAAGGAGCACTGTGTTGGCAGCAGCACGGCCGTCCCATGGACTGCCCTGTGTCCACCTGGCTGACTCACAGCATCAGTTGAGGCTTCTCAGCCTTTATCCATGTTCCTGGTGGAGGAAGAGGAAAAGGATCAAGATCAACATGGAAGGGAGCCCACCCTGAGCTAATGTATCATTGACTGTGGTTGAGCCAAAGGTCCATTCATCAGTTTTGGCTAAGAGCAGAGTCTCTGGTGCTGTGGACCTGACAGGGACAGAGCCAGGACTGTCACGCTGCAGCATCTTTGCCTCATATGCCATGAACTTGATGCCTTCATCATCATCATCACTTATGCTGGAGCCTTTCTAGGGCAGCGTGATTGCATTAACTACCCTGATGATGTCCCTGTGTCATCTGTGGGTCACCCAGCAAGCACCCGAGTGCCACCAGAGGGACAGCAGGGCTGTGAGCCACTCATGCATTTTCTTCTCTGTGTTGTGAAGGAAGTTGTGGGGCAGCAGCAGAGCGATGAAGAGCCTGTTTTGGTTTTGAACCAACCTCACCACCATCCAGAGCCTCCATCAGGGCTTGCTGAGCACAGCCAACACCACATCCTGTTGTAGAGCTCTGTAGATGCTTCAGTTTCAGCAGTGGAGCTGCTGAAAGTGGATGGCGGTCTCCAGGCAATGTCTCACACTGGTGAATCATTGCTTGGACAAGGAGCATTTACCTGATCCTTCCCCTCTGGCAGCTGCCAAACCACACTTAGGGCTTGGTGTTTTAGTTTTAAGAAGTTTGTCCTCTCACTGGGTCCAACTGTTTTTTGAGCAGAGATGGAGAGAGAAGTGCCTCCATGCCTGAGGGTGCCCAGCTTCACCTATGGCTTCTCTACCAGCCCCAAAGTCATCTCCAGGAGCTGGCCGTGTCCAGATGGAAACTTCTCAGCCCCAGGCGCTGTCTGAACACAGAAACATTGCAAACACAGTGTCTCATTGCCCTTTGTCTCCTGGCATGGCACCCTTTCCTCACCTCCACTTGGCCTACAGGATGCTCTAGATCACTCACCCCGTGATGGTGGTCAGAGACAAGGAGTTCCCTGTGCTGCCTTTGCCCAAACCCACTCCGGAGTAGGACATGGGCACTGCGGAGGCTTCAGTGCAGCCTCACCAACAGGTACAAGGGAGAAAGCACAAATGTAGCTTCACCAGGGAAACTGGGTAGAATTTCTGGCTCATGGTTAGGTCCATGGTGTTGGGTTAAGGTGCTTGGAATGTCTCCATTGCAGACTGTTCTGTTCATCCTCCTGCAGCAGGTCCATGCTGGGGTTTATTTGTCCCTCAAGAAGCGCGAGGGTTCAGCCCCCAGCAGCAGTGCAGGTGGTGGCCAGGCTGCAGGAGTGAGGACCAGGCACAGCATCTCCCTGAGCTGAGTCCCACAGACCACACTGGCTGACCTCCCATCATGCCCCTTCTGCAGCACCTCCTTTGGAGGGGTTAAGTGTTCAAGGGGTGACACTGGCCCACCACAGTGCCCAGGTGGGTTCACACATGACAAGCCCTGATAGAGGTGGGGGGGTGCTGATGTAGTTGGGTCTGCACTCACCACCTTTCCCTCCAAGAGGGAAACCTGGGTCCTTTCGCTGTTGCTCGACTGCCCAGCTCTGAGCCCTGGTTTCACATGTGGTGGAGGTACGTGTTCCCCTGGCAGTGATGGTGGCCCCACAGTAGAGCCTTTTTCTCCACACGGGGGCTGTGCAGGGCAGCAGCAGCAGCTCACCTTGCTCTTTGCCCTCAGCCAGTGGCTTCATCAGTTGAGATACCATCAATTAAAGGAGCTTGGTGAGTAATACACAGGGAAATTTTCACCTTTGATGTCTTCTTGTCTGTAACTGGCCTGGAAAGTCCAATTAAGTCTAAGCAGCCCCCGGGTCTTTCATCTTTGCTGTGCAACACTACCAAAATGAAAGGGGGTTTTGCTGCTTGCAGCAATGTTACCGGCAGCCCTTTCTCTGTGAACCAAGGCTGACAAGAAAAAGCCCTTTGGGAGGGGGAGGCCTGCTCTAAGACCAGAAAGTATTTGATGGTGTCCTCCCACGCCACTTCAAAGTGTGACCCTGCTACTAGAAACCAGCTGCCGCGGGTCACCTCGTACAAAGGCATCTGACCAAGAGAATAAAGCAGCGGAAGACATAAAGCAGCAAGAGAAATACCGCAGCAGCTGCCATTTTTGTCCTGCTTCCCATAGACGTTTCGGGGGCAGCTCCAGGACCACCCAGTGATGCTGGAGGCTGCAACCTAGGAGAGTGAAGGGCGTGATCAACTCAACAAGAGCTGTCTGAAGGGTAGTGGCCAGTCGAAGCCAATCTCTGTAACAGAGATCCAAGGTGTCCCCAGGCTGTGTCCCAGCCCATCCCGAGGCTGCTGGGAGGAGTCATCCTTGGGAAGCGCCACACTCTGTATGCCTGAGACTGGAAAGCAGTGTCCATGTCCATCCTACATGCACGGAGCTCAGCCCTGGCTCTGTGCCTAGTGCTTGGCCAGGAGCAAGCAGGGGCAGGTGCTCAGCCCTGCCCCACCAGCAGGCAGAGAAACAAGTGATCCAGCGGTGGCTTGTGCTGCTTGTGTCCCCAGGGGCACTGGGGCAGGAACCTGGAGGGTGGGATGAATGGCATCTGCAAGCCCCAGGGACAGATTTTGTTTCCAAGAACTTGGCATTGATGCTTTTTTTGCCTGGTGTGGTCCAGAAGCCCAGCCGAGGAGAAAGTCCTCCCATCTGAGGATGTCCAGTCAACGCTGATGTGTTCTTCCAGAAGCTTCTCTCCCACGTCCCACCATCCCCACATCCAACCATGCCTGTGAGCAGAGGCTGAAAATCAGTGCCTATGAGCCAAAACCACCACGCTGAAAGGCCCCTGACCGTGTGCACAGAAAACCCTCTGTGTTTTCCACCATGTGCATCCTGTTCCAGGGTTCAAACTGCCTGGCACCAACACCATAAAACGCAGACTTAGATGTAGCTGCTTCAGCTACATCTGCTCATCTTCAGCTACATCATCTTCAGCTCATCTCTGGCTTTAATTACATACATGTGCTTTTGCTCCTGGAAGTACAACATGGACAAAAAGCAGTTTGCCAAGGACTCCAGGACAGAGTGTCAGTCCTGGGATGCCCACAGCATGGAGGTGCCTGGACACAGCAGATACTTACTGCCTCTCTGCTCTACCTAACCTTTCAGATCTTCCTCCTGGCAGGAGGTGGGTTTGGTTTTCATAATGCAGCCATTCCCTACCCAGACAGATCCATCACCCTGTGCCTTGGGACTCTCGTGAGAACTTGGCACCATCCTGTGCCAGAAGCCATTTATCTAATAGCAGCATCATTAGCCAAGCACCTGAAGGAGCAGAGAAATGCCCACTCCACTGCAGCTCACAGAAGCCCTCAACCCAGCCATTGCCTTCTCCCTGTCCCAAACCTTCCCCCTGTCCCAAACAGCGGGGTTTGCCCATACAGCCGGTTCATCAAAGGTCCCCAGTCTGGGGTGATGTGTCTGGGTGCAGCTTGAGCCCCAGCAGCACAGCAAACACCTCACCCTGCTCTCCCTCCCCTAGACATGGGAACAGAGAGAAACCAGCCCCATGAGACCTTCCCGCCACTTCCTGGCATGCCAGGTTTCCTCCAGGGAATCTTGGGCTCCTTTACTGACACACCTGCAGAGCTTTTCTGCACTTCTCCTGCCATACATCCAGCCTGAACTGATCCCCTTCCAGGGCTGCGCGCAGACATTTGCCAAGCCATCCCCTCCAGCCATCCCTCCGAGCTGAGCACGCCCCAAAGCCAGGCTGTAGCTGCCGCCTCTTGGCAGAACTGAAAACATTTCATGTTATTAATTTGTGTTAATTAAGCAGAGTGATGAAGGACCCCCCCGACTTGGACATGAGCAGGCAACGTGCGCTTGCAGCCGCCCAGAAGGCCAGTGTATCTTGGACTGCATCCAAAGGAACATGGCCAGCAGGTCAAGGGAGGGGATTCTGTCCCTTTACTCTGCTCTGGTGAGACCCCACCTGGAGCGCTGTGTGCAGTTCTGGTGTCCCCAATACAGGAAAGACACAGAGCTGTTGGAGCAAGTCCAGAGAAGGGCCGCAGAAATTATGAGAGGGCTGGAGCAGCTCTCCTGTGAGGAAAGGCTGAGAGAGCTGGGCTTGTTCAGCCTGGGGAAGACTTCAGAAGACCTTCTTGCGGCCTTTCAGTTCTTAAAAGGGGCCACATCTTGCCCATTCTAGGGACCTCTGCCCAACAGCTCCTGGCCCTGCCACGTTAGCTCAGCGACTCCATTTCACATGGCCATCTCAGCAAGAGGTCTGCAGCCAGTTGTGCCCACACAGGAGGCCAGAGCAACGCCTCCCCTTCTCCCCCTATCACTCCAAAGCCCCACCACAACCTTACCTCGGCCTTGTGCTGCCTCTCCCAGGTCTGTGTGGGAGCAGGAGAGCAGAGAAGGCATCCTCAGCACGGCGGGAGGATGCAGCCCCTCCGTGCCACTGCTCAGCCCTTTATCCGCAGAGCTTTGCTTCCTCCTTGCCTGTATGCTCAAGTTCAAGGTAGAAAATGGACCCCTCTGGTTGGTGGCTCCTGCCCCTGTGGGACCTGTGGATGTGATGGGACCTGGCGGCCAGGGTGATGTTCAGGGCAGCACCAGGGGAAGGTGGGTCTAGCTTCCCCAGACACCTGCCACCGGCTGCTGTTCAGCCTGGTGGCTTTTTCTCTCTTTCAGTTTGCTCCTCGCCCCTTCCTGCACTGTGGGTCTCACTCAGCCTTCCTTCCTGTCAGCACAGCACTGCTGCCTATGCAAATCGATGCAGCTATCTATCTCCTGAAAAGCAGCAGCCCAGGAACTGCCCGTATCTGTCTGACTCCTGGGGTCTGTCCTGCTGGGGTGCTCTGTGCATGACCACTTCCCAGCCATGGCTGCTTTCTCCAAAGAAAGCCGTAACATCAGGCTCAACAGGACCCAGATTACAACGAATTCTCTTGAACAGAAAGCAGGAGCTCTCCCGGCCTGGGAGAGCAGAGGGTTTTGATACATAACCCCCTCATGGCCAGTGCCTTGCAAGGGGCTGGTGTTGCATCAGCTCTGCCCTTCACTGGGCCATGCATGGAAACATTTCCACAACTAAATTCAAGTTGTACCTTGAAAGAGCAGAATAAAAGGTAAACTTCCCTTCCTCCAGAGTCATTGTTCTGCCACTGCTGAATTCCTTCTCGAATTAGGAGTTTATTCTGAGAAGATGGATCACATCACACAAAGGACCACTGTGTCCCACCTGAGGAGCCAGAGCCACCACAGCACTGGGACCGGCGTGATCTCCCCTCCCCAGCTCTGCTCAGGCAAGTGGTGTTGACCAGTAGTTTGCATTTGTGTTCTACAAACCCCTTCATCTGTAAATCCTAACCCAGGTTTTGCGGACATTTAGGCAAATCCTACTGGTTCTGAGATGCTGAGCTGGAGGCAGGTGGGCAGGGTGGCACAGCAGCACTGTGACCCACGGTGTGCAGCTCTGCTTTCCCGGAGTCCTAGGGCAGAGTGGCAGTGTCCAAGGAACGGGGCGGGGGAGCACATCCCGTTGGAATAATGGGATAATCACACACCATGGGGAGGGTTGCTGCCTGCTTAATGTCCAGTGACTTGTTTGTTGGGCCAAAGGCGCCTGCTGCTGGGGTGGTTTGGGAGAGGTCAGAGTAAGAGCAAAGTGATGAAAACAGATGAAAATAGCACATCCTGCTGGGAAACCTGCTCTGGTGGGGTCTGGCTATGTCTAGAAGGTAACCCTAAGCTGCATCTAAATCTGTAATTACACATCTTTCCCTTCATCAAATCTAGCTGGGAGGTGGTCGATGGCTGATGGTGGAGATGAGATGATGGCAGAGGAGATGATGGAGATGAGGCAATGGCAGAGATGATCTAGTGGGAGGTGTCCCTGCCTGTGGCAGGGGTTTGGAACTGGATGCGCTTTAACGTCCCTTCCAACCTAAACGAATCTGTGATGGCAGAGATGAGATGGTAGTGTAGGCAATGACAGCTGATAGTGGAGAGCTGATGTGGGTCAGGGTGGGTAAGCAGGAGTCTCGACTCCAGCCACCACTCTGGGCTGTGCCCAGGGATTGCTCCAAGCATGAGCCATGCTCCCTGCCAGTCCTAGGGCTGCACCTGTGGGGGGGGGTTAAAACCTTTTCTCTCCCAAGCACCTGGTCTGTGGTCATCTCCCGCCCTGTAGGGAGGTGTGTTTCAGGAGGAGACATTTGAGATGTCCCATCAGCGCCCCCTTCCCGGTAAGCTGTGGGACAAGATCCCTCACAACAGAAATGACTGCAGAAGCCCCAGTCGGGGCTGTGCCTGCTGCTTTCACAATTACTCATTTATGTTAATTAACACACCCCAGTTACTTCTTTGCAGCTGTGTATCACACATCCATCATGTGTTACCTGGGCTGCTGATCCAACCCCAGGTTTCCCACGTGGCCAGAAGGTGATCTGGGACCAGTCCTGGAGATCAGCCTCACAAGAAGCCATTTCGTTGGGGATCCATCTCCAGAGGGGCAGGGTCACAGCCAGGAAGCCTGTTACTGGAGGACCCACAACCCCCCTGCCACAGCAGTCAGGTCCAGCTGAGCTGATTCAAACCAAGGCAAGTTGACCTGTGTCTGTGCCACAGCCTCCAGTCCTGCTGCAGTGGGGAGCAAGTGCTTGGACCCCTGCAGCAACGGGGGCTGGGAAGCACCTGCCCAGCTGGAGCAGCAGCACAAGGAGCAGGCGGTGGGGCTGGCCTGGGGATGGGTTGGAAGGATTTGGTGCTTGTCTCATGGAGAGAGTGTGGGATGCAGCAGCTCCATCACACAGCCCCAGCTTGCCCCAGCTTCCTTTATCAGGGCCCTGTGGGCAGCCGGGGCTCTAAACAGGTTTGCATCTACAGGGGCTCAGGCTGCGTGTGGCCCGGGCTCTGACAGAAGATGGGACCTTCATGGTCTGCATGGTGACATGGAGCACCATGAAGGAGGCTGAGGAGCTAATACGGAGGAAAGCTGAGGTTGTGAAGGCAGATCAGGATGATGTCACTGGAGCTGACCTTGGCAGGTGCTTAAGGAACCTTTGTTGTGACCAACTGCTGGGAGCACTGCAGCAAAGAGAAGGAAATCACACAGGTACCAGGGCTTGCTTTAACTGGGACCACATGTGAATGGCCTGGGGGCAAGGGGTCAAGGGACAGCCACAGGGCATCAGGGTGGGAGTCATGGGACAGCTCTTGGTGCAGCCTTCCCAGCCCTCATGGTCCAAGTGGCCAGTCCATGAAAGTCCCAATTACAAACAAACCAGGTCCCAGGCCTTGCAAAGCCTGAATGTGTTCCCTGTTCCTCACAGGCAGAGAGCACGGCCCAGGAGTCAGAGTAGCAGGAGTGGGACTCTTGGCTCCACAGAGCCTTCCTGGGGCTGAGCCAGGCCTTCACTGCCTGCAGTCATTACCCAGAATGTAATTCTCCTGGGTGCAAGTTACTCTGTGGTGTGTTATCCATGCTCATGAGTACGAGTTACTTCTGGGGAGGTATTTTGTCTTTCATTTTCCCCTTTAGATTTGTACCTCTCTCCCTGTGTTACATTGTACTTTCATTATTAAAATGTTCTTATCTCAACCTGCAGGTTTTACACTTTTGATTCTTCTCCCCATCTCACCAAGGAGGGGGCACATGGGGGTGAGCGGGTAGCTGCTGGTGCTGGGTTGCTGTCTGGGTTTAAACCACAAGACTGTTCAGACCAGCGTACCCAGGACAAGAGGACGGGCTGTGCAGCTGCAGGCAGGTAAGAAGTGCTGGAGCTACACACCGCCTTTGGGAGGCGGTTGTTCAGTGACTCTGGGTGTTTTCGCTGTGGCAAGGTGGTGGTGGCAGCTTTTTTCCCCAGGATCACTCTTCCCCAGGAGGCAAACACTGGGGTTTGTTTCTCCCTAGAGCAGGCCCAGGCAGTGCAGCACACCTGGCCAGGCAGAGCACTGCCCGGAATGCCCAGTGACATCCTGCACCGGGTAACGTAGCTGAGCCCAACTCCTCCAGCCAGACAGCTGTAATGGATGGGAACCTAGCTGGGAGTTGATTCCCTCTCATGACTGAGAGACATAACAAAGGATGTTGTTTGCCACAGTGTATTTGGCAGAGTATGTATGTTTGTGTTCATCGTGACTGTTGGAAAGAGACAGGAAAACCTAGGTGTGCAGACCTTCATACTTGTCTGCACTGGGGTGCCTGGCCAAAGCTCTCAGGGTGGACAATGGTGAGATCACGAGAAACTGCACGGTCCCATGAGTAAACCATTAGAGATCTGGCATAAAGCTGGTTGTTTTTCTAAGGGTATAAAGTGGGACCCTTTTGTGGCCATGAGAGAAGCCTCACCTACGGGTGGATGCACTGGGCAGAACTTTTCCCAGTTGCCTGAGACTCCTGGCATTGGCTGCAGTGGGGTTTCCCAGATGGAAGTGTGGGCCTGCATGATGATTTAGTGGTAATTGGTGATATGTTTCTTCTTAATCTCTATTCTCTCTATACGGTAATGATCTAATGCATTGCTAACTTTCTTTGGTACTTTACTTATACACCTCTGATTTGCCTTATTGTACTTATTCACTATATGTTTACCTAGTTCACATTAGTGTGTTTGCTTTTAGCGTGCTTACTGGCTTTAGTGTGCTTGTTTAATGAACTCTGCGTATCATGCACCTAGTGTGTGGTCACTATGTGGCGTACCCTGTCAGCAGAACAACAGCTCCCAGCTCTGGCCTGGCCTTTGGGCTCCTAGAGCCTCCATGAGTTGAGTAAAACATTCTCCAACTCTAGGACTTAAGAATCACTTAAAAAGCAATTTTGACCATCCTCCCCTTCCCCCTGGCCATACTTAAGGTACTGCTCGATTAGCGCTCTGGCCTTGGCAGTCTTTGCTTTGCTTACAGTCAGTAACAACCCCCGGGGGGGGCTCAGGACACTGAGCCCTACCCACTCCTGTTCGAGAGGAGACCTTTTCTGTTCCTGGCAGAGGGAAAGGGGTGAAGACAAGGTTGGAGGAGCAAACAAGGCAGCAAGGCACAAAAGGTGTTAAATATCTTTATGAAGTCAACCTTATTTACATGGATACAGAATCACTTTACAGACAGTTTAATCAGGAGGCAACACGTGCTTTATTTCAGCAAATTAAGATGGGCAAGACTATGACATGTCCTTGTTTAAGTGGTCGATTAGCATGTGGGCTGGTGGTAGCTGCAGGGTGTAACTAACAACAGCGAGCTACAGCAACCACAACACTCGCTGCACGAGCTCCACCACCTGGAAGGAGCGCTCCACTTCACTTGCATTCTCACACGTAGGAATAACGACTCTTTGACCAATCATTTATATTACAGGGGTTGTGCTAATGTAATAAAAGACTTTGTCCCAAACTGGCAAAGGGCTCAGTGGTAAACTCGCACCCTTCAGAAGCGACAGCAGTTGTGTAGTACTTTAGTTACTGAGGGAGGGAACCTGAGGCAACGTGCAGATTCCATCCCCACTCTTTGCCCAAGAAATCAGCAGGACAACCCCCCCCCCCTCCGCCCCAGCTGCTGAGGGAGTCAGGGCAGCAGAGCTCTGACCAGCCCCAGGGATATCCTGCTCCGAGAGCTGTGTGAGACAAGGAGGAGGGCTGTCATGAAGGCAGGATTAAACCTTGCCGACCCACCAAGTCTCCTGGGAGAAGAAAAGTAGCACTAAGCTCTCCGAACAAGTGGAGCATTCAGCAGGACACCTGAGTGAGCAGCAGCCATCCAGGGCTCCCTGCAGCAAACTGCTCCACTCTCTGCAGGAAGGACACAATTTTTATTTCATGTTTCCACTGGTTTGGATTCTAAATAATATTTCAATGTTAATTTTTACCAGA